TGGATTTGGACAAACCCTAACATTTGCTCTTGTATTCTCACCTGATAGACAAAGTATTTCTTCACATACATATTGTATTGATTTCAGTCAACAAATTGACCGTCCAAAGTATATGTTGAGGCTTTATAGAGGAACTTAAACATTACATAAGACTTGAGTGCAGGCGGCAGGTCCAGGCCTCTGCTGAGGAACTGTGGGGGCTTTCAAGGGCGGCTTTTCTACCATTGTCCAGAGACTTTAGAGAAATCATCATCCGTGACCGTGTTAGTCCTGGGATTAGCAGTGATTACAGCCAGATTGGAAAACTGCCAAATTTACTGCCAATAATTAGTGCTATTCAGGCTATGAAGGAGCAAACATCAAAAGTGTTGAGAAGAATGTTATTAACTAAATAGGAATATAGCAGTAGAAAGATTTTCACTGAGAAATGCAATGTTTTTTTTTCCTGAATACTTGGAATAGTTTAACATTAAAGCTGGGGTTCCTAACTATGGTACCAAACCACAATAAACAAATATGTATATATGTTTAAGTTAATTTCTCTAAAAACAGTTTGGGTCCATCACTAGTTTTCACATGTATGTACATCAGGCCTTTGTCACATCTTTAGATCAACTTTCTCAGACAGAAAGTGTGAAATACTGAATCGCTGGTCCGGCCTTTTTCACTTTCTGACTGAAAAAGTTGATCTAACAATTGATCGAAGCCAAAAAGGCAATTATGTGAAAACTCTAGAACCCAACCAAACCAAGAAAGGAACTATTACTAGTTAGATGTCCATTAGTCGGTTTGTCTTGGTCTTGTCTTGTCTCTTACCATTGGTGTGTGTGTGTGTGTGTGTGTGTGTGTGTGTGTGTTTTTCTTTTTTTTGTATTGTATTGTTGAACTGTATGTATTTAGATTATTGGATTAAAATAAGACTTTTGCTATGACTAGTCCTGTTTCAAACCATGCACAGGCTTTCTTGTTCACTCCTATTATCATTTTTTCTGTTAATAAATGTCTCATCCATGTCTGAAATATATAAACAAATCAATGAGTAGTCTATGCATGGACTCGAACTGGACTCGAACTGGACCCGACTGGATCTTTGCCTGAGATTCTCGTGCTGGGTTCGATCACGCACGGCGGACACAGTCTCCATGGAGCTGCTGGAAAGCCGGCCCTGACTGCTGCCTGCCTCTCTGTTGACTCTCTGCTAATTGTGTGAAGCCAATTGAATGGATTTGGGCCCCGATGGATGAGTGCCCCTGGTCCAAAAACGTGGACCAACAGGTTGAGTGGTGTTTGCCTTCTGTGTCCGCTCCGTGTCCGCTCCAGTTCACCACAGTGTCGCCGGGAAATGTACGAGTGAACAATTACTGATATGTGGACAACAGCTTTCAGTGCATGCAGGGCTCAAGAGAGTGGGGATGTAGTACAGGGAGGAGTATTTGGATTATATAGGTCAAAAAGAGGAGGTTAAATGTGTTATAAGCCAGTGGTTTTGGGTGGCTTTTATATCCGGTGTACCAATTTGCAACCATAAACAAAGTAGCAATATCTGTTTTTTCACTATACTTTTCACTTATATATTCTACACTGCAAAAAGTGATTTGGCAACATGTGTCTTAATTTGAGCACATTTTGACTGGCTAAAAACAAGATTTGCCAATGGGACAAGCTGAAATATCTTGTTTAAAAAAGGATACAAGAAATGTCTCCTTTGGAATGAGAAAATATAGCCACAGTTCTTGGATTAAAACTAAATGCTTTGTCCCATTGGAGAATCTTGTTTTATGGCAGTCAGAATGTGCTCAAACTAAGACAAAAACAACTCAATTAAAAAAAAGCATGCCAGCCCTCACGTAGCCAAACAGCTCTCAGTATGTAATAATAATAATAATAATAATAATAATGCATCTGTTTTATACAGCGCTTTTTTGGACGCTCAAAGACGCTTCACATGTCATTATACATTCACTTCAAACACGGTGGTGATAAACTACTACTGTAGCCACAGCTGCCCTGGGGCACACTTACAGAAGCGAGGCAACCAAGTATGTGCCATCGGCCCCTCCGCCCACCACCAACCATTCACACACACACCAGACTCATTCTAGGCAATGGGGGTGAAGTGTCTTGCCTAAGGACACAACGACACTTTACAGCCGCAGCCGCCCCGGTGTGGCATCAGGTGTTCCCAGTGTCTTGCCAAGGACACAACGACAGCAGACATCAGCGGGAGTCGGCCCTCAGGCTCAAAGGCCAATGCTCTACCAACTGAGGCACTGTCGCCCCATGTAAAGATAACATGTGTTTTTATACAATGAAGACAGTATGTTGTGGTCTGGTTTGTTCACAAATTATTACTGAAACAAGATGTTTTGTGACAAGCAACGTGTACCGATGAAACCTACAAAAACTTAGGTTCTCCAGCTCTGACGTCATTGGCAGAGGAACAGGTGTCTCAAGGTCTTGTTCCTCTTGTTCAAATACAGTAATATCTGATCAGGTTGGCCTCAGTAAAAATGAAAATATCCTATAATCATGAATGTGCTTTGAATACTAAAGTCATCTCAAACACAAGCACAATATAACTGTTAAATTCGTTTAATTTTCTACACAGTCATTTGTACTTTGAGCTACCTTTTAGCCAAAATAAGTCCAAAAGATAAAACAATATAATGAGCATAAATAATAATAAAACTAGTAGACTTTATACTTACTTTTTAATGGTGTATGCTAAATGTATAAGTATAGAGCTCCTCATTCCTACTGTTCTGTAACCGGTGATGCAACACTGAAATTGCCCCATTGTGGGACAAATTACTCTTATTCTTTATCCATGTAGATGCATAAAACATATAGTAGTACAATATGTTCAATGGATTTGTCAAAGATTCAGGCAAATCACAATATTTTGTCAAGAAATGCCACAGAAGGCTGAATATTCAAATGAAAATAGTGAAAGAAACATCGTGTGTAAATACTATAGTGGACTTTCTAATAACTCACAGCAGACAAAGACTGGAGTGTGAAGCCCTGGGACATTACCTGACCCTGATCCAACTCAAGCCTGTTTTTATGAGCTCTTTGGAAACCTGTATATTTATTGATGCATGCACTGTCACAGCACTACCCCCAAATGCCATTTCCTGTCTGTACTTGCATCGTCATGGGTCTATGAGTTCAAAAGAGCTCCACACAATCAGTTTAGGAGTTCAACTAAGTGTACCAAATCACTAGGGAAGGCTACTTAGAGGTTAATATGAAAAAGAAACAGTGTATTTCAATGTCTTATGATGGGAGGACGGTGGCTGTGTGGATAGCACTCTCGCCTCTCAGCAAGAAGGTCCTGGGTTTGAATCCCGGTCGGACCAGGGCCTTTCTGAGTGGAGTTTGCATGTTCTCCCCGTGTCTGCGTAGGTTTCCTCCGGGTACTCCGGTTTCCCCTACCACTAAAAATATGTCCAATAGTTCTGGCATATGCCTCCTGTACTGGCCCCTCCCATCTCTGTGTGGAGTGAGAGACAAATGCCCAAAAAAAAAATAATAACAATTGTAAACCGCTTTGAGACTCAGATCTGCAGTGAAAAGGCGGAATATAAATAAAGATTACTACTACTACTACTAAATAGAGAGAGGCATAGTATAGGGGTGATAGTCAAGAAAAACACTGGTTACGCAAGAATCAAAAGGACTCAAAGTGTTTGTAGAAAGACAGGGGGAAACCTCTTCTTCCTGACACCTTTTGTCCAGGTTTATAACTCACCAGCCAGCCTCAGCCATCCATCACTTCATTCTATAGAAAGACCTTTTTTCCACTGCTCCGGTGAACAGATGGTCAGCTCAACAGAAAGCAGTGTGTGATCGCGAAGCTAATTTAGACCAATATGTTAAGGGTATGGTTGTCCCTGTAGGGAAATGTGTCCTCTGCATTTAGTTAGTGCAGTTATGTTGAGAAACTTGTGTGTCCACTGCATCTGACCCATCATTCAAGTCTGCTGAGGAAACCTGTCATGACTAATGTTAGTAAGTATTCTTTATTTATACAGCTCATTTTACGGACCGAGGTCACCCAAAGCGCTTTACAAGAGTTCAGACGTTTCCATTCTCTCCACACGGTGATGACAGACATGGGGAGAACATGCAAACTCCACACAGAGTTTGAGTTTCCACACAGGTGAAATCAAACCCAACTCATGGTGCAGCACATGGTGTGAGACTGAACATTAGACTGGAGTCCTAATGCAGGAGAAGTCTGATCATTTGTTGCTACAGAGATGACGAAGACATAGAGAAGTTGGAAGTAAGAGCAACAGTTAAAAATGTGTTGTGCTCTCCAAACCAGTTAAAATGACAAACTGTCAGAACACATTCACGTTTTGACAATTAAAATGTGAATCAATAAAGAGTCCTGGATCCATGAGGTCTCCGCAAGGTTTTCTCACTTTTTTCCCAATTTTTTCCTTGTTGTTTTTTTTTTCTTTTTAACCGGTGGGGGTAAGGACAGTGAACATTTATGGACATTAGTTATCCCGCTTGCTATGGATTTGATAGTGATGTTGGGCTGTACAAAATACACTATACGAATAGAATAGAATTGAGTTCAAGTCCAATTTCAATTCTCTATCTTGAATGATACAGAACAGGAGAGAAGAATATAGTAATCCGTTGTATTTGATTATTTTACAACAGCAAAACACTTTACAAAACATCCCGATGAAAAAAATGCGACAAAATATCTTTAGTCTTTGTTGTTTCTTATCTGCTCTCACCTCCGTGCCTCACACCCGTCGGGCTTTAGGACCGTGCGGCCGCCTCTGTCCTGAAGGAGGCGCTGAGCATCATGGCTTGGTTCACCTGACATTACCGCATGATTTTACGACATGATTTTATGATTTCACCTCAAATTCAGCGTTTTTATTCTTTATAAAACCTCTTCTTCATGCCGTGTATTCTCGTCCTGTTCTAGCCACTGCTGCTGCGTCAATCAGCGGCTCGTCCTCCCGCTGTAGATGGAGCATATCCGGCTTCCGAAGGTAAAAAAACCGTGATTTCCGCACTCCCGGTCACTCAGAAAGCTCCATCGTTTCACATGTAAAGTCTACCAGAACACCCATCCCATAGATTACAAATGTGTGCATGCTGTCATTCTACATTTGTCCATATTCAAAGAAAGACACTGCAGAATTAGCGCAGATTTTGTCTTGATAATTGCTATTACAGTCACAGTTATGCACTAGAATGAGATTTTTTTTATCCCATGTTACAACAGTATCCATACTCTGATCCATACCTAACAAATGTTTCATGTTTTACTTTCACTTCTTATATGTGTGTCTTATCCACTGCCACGCTGGCTGGACTGGACTGGACTGGGCTGGTCTTATTACGCAGTTATGCACATGTGTCGGTCTGATCCATACGAAATAAACTCTTCTTGACATGGACTGAATTAAAAACCTATTAGTGAGGTGCCTTGGTGATATGGAATAGAATACATACTATAAACCATATCATCTACAGTAAGATATCTCGTTTTTGTGTTGATGTATGTGTACGTTAAAGCTGGGGTACCTAACGTATTTTTTCTTATAAATTATATACATTATGTGATCAAACGCCGTTTTTCTCTTTAAATTGGTTCTTGGCAATTCCTAAGGTAGAATTTTCCTTCACCTGCCGAATTCAAGTCCTCCCTCTAGTGGTAGCTTGGGGAGTTACAGGCAGAAGACCCGTTTAACCTGTGAGACTTGTTTAGCCATATTTTATAATAATAATAATAATGCATCAGTTTTATACAGCGCTTTTTTGGACACTCAAAGACGCTTCACATGTCATTATGCTTTCACTCCATACACGGTGGTGATAAACTACTACTGTAGCCACAGCTGCCCTGGGGCACACTGACAGAAGCGAGGCAACCAGTCTGTGCCATCGGCCCTTCTGACCACCACCGACCATTCACACACACCAGACTCATTCTAGGCAATGGGGGTGAAGTGTCTTGCCAAGGACACAACGGCAGTTTGGCACTTTACAGCCGCAGCCGCTGTGGCTGGCGTTCCCGGAGGTTAAGTGTCTTGCCAAGGACACATCTACAGCAGCCAGTGGGAGTTGATGGTGAAAGTCGGGCTTGAACCCAAGACCCTCTGGCTCAAAGGCCAATGCTCTATAACTGAGCTACTGTCGCCCCTTTCTAATTATAAAATATAAAATAAGAAAGTAAAAAATCTCATTATTATTTTGAAGGGCCAAAAATAATGTGTAATATTTCTTGTTTAAGGCAATTAACATATCAATTATTAACATATTATTAACCGATTTTCCTGTAGTTAATACTACAACAACTAAACGCAAAAATACTTTATCAATCCAGTGTATCGTCCATACGAGGCCGGCGTTTTGGGGGGGTGTAAACGAACATTTTTGAAAATAGGTCCCACAGTGGAAAGATTTCAAAACTCCGTATATGCCGCTCCGTGGTTACTGCCTCTCCGCAATGTATCTGAGACGCTTGCGTCATCGCCCCGCCTCTTGTTAAAGCACGCATGCGCCGCACTCAGAAAATAATGACACTTTCTTGTAGCTTGTTGGTTTTGTAATCCAGTGTGACCCGAAGCAACAGTTCAACCTCATCGTCCGTCCATACTAATGTAGTACCAGCTCGCCCACTCGCCATGTTGTCTGTTTACAAAATTCTGCGCATGCCCAGTTCCCGTCACGGAAGTTTGGGCTTGATCCCGTCATTGCGTCACAGCGCCACCAACAGGTCTGGCATAGTTTCACAGCGTTTTCAGGCGTATTGACTACATTCATATGGACGCACACATTTACTGAGCTAACTCCGTGTTTACAGAAAAAGTTTCTGAAATTATAAGCGTTTTGTCTTCGTGTGGATATAGTCTTAATCTTGTGTCCAAATATGTGGCTTTTGTTGACTTGTAACTTGTAAGTAGGAGCCCTATGAGCAAGTCTTTTTGGCATTTCTGTCTGAAAAAGTCAGTTTAAAAAAAAAAAACCTTCTTTCTCACTTGCCTAAATAGCTGAACTAAAGATTTGAAAATACATGCATGTGAAAACTTGTGATAGATAGAACCAAACTTTTTATAGAGCAAGGAACTCGTAAGATCGATTTTAATTATATTATCTCAAGTACTCATTACAGTACTGTCAATTAAATCAATGAACCCCGGCATTATCTGCATGTTTCCTTTTTTTCTATCTCAGGTCGAGCAGGTGAAGCTTCTGGACCAAGTGGCCCCGAGAAAGAGCCGCGTGGGCACTCTGTATCTGACCGCCACGCACACCATCTTTGTGGAGAGCGAGGATGGGCAGCGCCATGAGACCTGGGTAAGTGCACAAGTGCTTTAGCTCTGTTCAAACTTAAAGTTGCATTGCATTATATTCAACAGCAGTCGTTTCAGAGTTGATTTCTCGCCCACAAATTAGAGAATCAAATATCTTAGCAATGCATTAATGACAAACACAGAGGAGCCATTGGTCCAAATGTCCTTAAATGTCTTTCTCACAATTTAAGTACGCAAAAGAATCAGTGTTTTCTAATAAAATAAACAGTTTTGGTCCATCCAGCCATCCATTTTCTTCCTCTTACTCCATTTCTGGGTCGGGGGTCACAGAGCACCAGCCCCTCACTGATCCTCTGCAGGGAGAGAGTCCACAGGAGAATGGCTGCTCTGTCAATGAGAGCATAGCCTTGATCTTTCAGCGGGGGCTTCAGACAAAGTGGGGTTAAGTGTCTTGCCCAAGGACACAGCGACAGCAGACATCAGTGGGAGTCGGTGGAGAAGGTCTCATGGTGGGCTCGAACCCACGACCTTCCGGCTCAAAGGCCAATGCTCTTCCAACTGAGCATTGATGATGTTTTGGTCCAATTTGTTCAAAAACTGTCTTGCTGCTTTGACTAACTAAATGTATTAGTCATGAGACAAAAATATTAGGTCCTCCAGCTTTAAGAATCCCTGAACGAGCCGATCCAATTCAGTAACAGTTAGTTGAGCTATAGTTACTGCTATTTGCACACTTCCATGACTTAAACATTTTCTGGACTTAACTTTTAACATTTGAACATATCTTTGAATGTTACATGAGTATGCTTCGTTACAGGTGCTGCACAGCCTGGTGTCCAGTGTTGAAAAACAGTCCCCCTCCTCTTCTCCATCTGGTGCGTCTCTGATGGTTCACTGTAAAAACTTTCAGCTGCTGCAGTTTGTGATCCCCGAGGAGCAAGACTGCCAGGACATCCTCCTGTCGCTGCGGCGCCTATCCCAACCAGGTGAACTAAGATTCTGCAGATACCTGACAATAGTCTATGGCTGAATCTATGGCAAAATATATTCAGCCTAATTGTGAGAGCTGAGAATCACAGAATTAAGCTCAGCCGTTTCTTTAATCCTAGAGCCAGCGTTATCCTAAAGTATTGTTGAATTAATTTATTTTTCAAACATTATTGCAGAGTCGTACGAGGAGCTCTACTGTTTTGCCTACAAACCAAATGTGGACGAAGAGGAGAGGCAAAGAGAGTGGGACTTTCTGAGCCTCACATCTGAATACAAGAGAATGGGACTTCCAAACCCCCACTGGAAACTGTCCTCTGCCAACCAGCACTATGAGGTCAGGAGGGGAAACCAGCGAGTAAAAAAATATCTGTTTTTTATCCTATGATGATGGACTGACACACTTTACAAGTTCTGTTTTATGTTTTATCTATTTTTTTATAAATCTATTTTTATCCCATTTGCTCCTCAAGTGGTTGTTAGTCTTCCTTTGGGTCCACTCCACACAGGATCACGTCACAAAAGTTCAAACATACAATATAAAAAGCAAATGCAATACAAGATTACCAGAAGAACCTAAAACTGAATTAACCTTTCCAACATTCATTCATTCCTTCATTCAAATATTTAGGAAAGAGGGGGAGTGAGCGTTTCTGTGGGTACAGTATGCGAGTCAGGTGCTCTTCAGGAACCAAATGCAAATAGCTGCAATTTTCAAGCAAAATTTCAAGCAAAGCAAATTTTCAAAGTTAAAATCCATTATTTTTGGCCACATAGGTCTTAATCAGTTACTTGGGTCATCTGATGAAGTAGTGGTCCAAACGCATAGGTCTGTTGTGCCTTGGATCTTCTTTTTTCCTTTCATTCATTCAAATATTGTTGTACTATTTTTTCTTTTTAACAATTATTTTATTTTTCTCTAGGGTTGTTGGCATTTCTCTCCATAAAGTCCATAAAATTAGCTCTTTTTAACACTAACCAGAGGGACCTCTTGCATTGAATCTTGAATACTTCAAGAACTTAATTTAACAATTCATTTGGGCCAATTTTCCTGTATTTCTTGTTGAATCAGAATCATCAGAATCAGAATCATTTTTATTGCAACAGGAAGTCACAGACTTGGAAATTGCTTTGGCTCAGTGCAACAGTCAGAAAGAGATAATAAAAATAAAGAATAAAAATATAGAATAAAAAACACTTCTAAAGATTAAATTTAAATTTAAAATAGAGTTACAGTTACTATTTACAATATACAAGTGCACATGGTGCACACAATGTAAGGTGACAGCAGTACAGTGAAGTAAAGTGACGTATGATGGGCAGTAAAGTGACTTTATAAAGGGCGGGGGGACAGGTTAAGAAGTGTTCAAGAGTCCAACAGCAGAGGGGAAGAAACTGTTCTTGTGGCGGGAGGTTCTAGTCCTGATGGACCGCAGCCTCCTGCCTGAGGGGAGTGGTTGGAATAGTCCATGTGCAGGGTGAGAGGGGTCGGCTGTGATACGACCAGCCCGGCCTCGAGCTCGGGCGACGTACAGGTCCTGCAGCGATGGAAGGCTGCGGCCGATCACTTCCTCTGCAGAGCGCACAATGCGCTGTAGTCTCTGTTTGTCCCTGACTGTGGCTCCAGCGAACCACACGGTGATGGAGGAGGTGAGGATGGACTCGATGATGGCCGTGTAGAACTGCACCAACATCTGTGCAGGCAGCTTGGCTTTCCTGAGCTGCCGCAGGAAGTACATCCTCTGCTGGGCCTTCTTGATGAGGGAGCTGATGGTCTGCTCCCACTTGAGGTCCTGGGTGATGGTGGTGCCCAGGAAACGGAAGGACTCCACAGAGGTGATGGGGGAGTCCATCACGGAGGGTGGGGGCGGGTGGGGGCGGGGGGACAGTGCTCTTCCTGAAGTCCACAATCATCTCCACTGTCTTCTGGGCGTTCAGCTCCAGGTTGTTACCACTGCACCAGGACACCAGCCGGTCCACCTCCCTCCTGTAGGCGGACTCATCGTTGTTGGAGATGAGTCCAATGAGGTGTCGTCCGCGAACTTGATCAGCTTCACGGAGTCGTGGCTGGAGGTGCAGTGGTTGGTGTACAGGGAGAAGAGCAGGGGAGAAAGAACACAGCCCTGTGGGGCTCCTGTATTTATAATCCGAGAGTCCGAGACATTCTTCCCCAGACGCACTCGCTGCTTCCTGTCTGTCAGGAAGTCAGTGATCCACCTGCAGGTGGAATCGGGCACGTTGAATACAAATAGATCTGTATTTTTATTGTAGGTGAGTGACACGTATCCATCTGAGCTCTTCATCCCAGAGTTAGCCACACTTCCTGTCGTCGTGGGAAGCTCCAAGTTCAGAAGCAGAGGGAGATTCCCCACGTTGTCCTATTACAACCGAGGAAACCATGTGAGTCTCTCAATGTGTTTGTCATATTTGTGTGCTCCTTTCACCTTAACCTGCTTAAATCTCCAACACTAGTCTGGTCTGGGCCACAGCCTATTGTTCCCATGTCCACATAAGGCCCAATCTATGTTTTACACACCTGTGCTGCAATCAGTCTGCAACCCTCCTCCTCCCCATCACAACCTCAACAGTGGGACGTTTATCCATATCATCAGCTCATCATTTCATTTTTGTTATTTATATTTCAATATATTTTTTGGCGGCTTCAGTTTTTTGTTTTTCTTCAGCTTTCATGCGATCGCTGTACATCGCCTCATGCTTGCTTCTCAAATGTCCAATGGGATTTTTTGTGTTAAAAGATTTTCGAGCAGTCCCCACTCTTGAAATCTCGCAGCAACAATACAAAAATGAATCACATGGAACAGTGCAAGCGTACGCACCTCTGACATATACGGCTTAGCCAAAGATGCGCTCGGTTTGACCGGTCTTTGACTTGGTACTACGTGCGCAGAAGACCAATATTTAAACACCAGTGTTGGGTACAAATCAATATTTACTTCTAAAAAAAGTTATTAGTTGCATTACTTTGTTACTGCCCCATGAAAGTAAAAAAACAGAATCAAGTTTGTATTTTTGCTCTATTAAAGTCAATTGAATAAAGTAAGTAAGTAAGTAAGTAAGTAATGTTTATTTATATACCGCCTTTCACAGACAAGGGTCACAAAGCGGTTTACAATTGTTATTATTTTTTGGGCACTTGTCCTCTCACTCCACACAGAGATGGGAGCGGGGTCGCCGAACAGGAGGCGCATGCCAGACCTATTGTACATATTTTTAGTGGTAGGGGAAACCGGAGTACCCGGAGGAAACCTACGCAGACACGGGGAGAACATGCAAACTCCACTCAGAAAGGCCCTGGTCCGGCCGGGATTCGAACCCAGGACCTTCTTGCTGAGAGGCGAGAGTGCTATCCACTCAGCCACCGTGCCGCCTAATAAAGGTCTAAGTTGTTCAAAACTGGCTCAGATGTTGATGCTCAACTTGGTCAGGTCTACCAGAGCTGGAGGATGTTGCCTATTGTATATATTGGTAGTGCAAGGGAAACCGAAGCACCCAGAGAAAACCTACACAGACTCCACTCAGAAAGGCCGACCAGGATTTGATCTTGCTATCTGGATCTCTAGTGACACCTGGTTTGGCATAAGTTTTGCAACATCTGGGCCCAGCATTTCTCTGGGACCATGTCTTTTATGTTATGTATCATAATGATTAAGACAAAAATGCTATGAAGAGGGAAGAGGAACCTGTATTTGATATGGACACATGGGTATAACCCTCCTCCTCCTCTCTGTCTCTCTACTGTCTCACACTGCTCTGGTCACTTGCACCTGTCTCACAGCTGGTTTTGGGCATCTAGTCATCTAGTCATTTCTTGTACCATCTTGTCTTTCAGCTGGTCTTTTGTGGCATCTAGTCAGGCATCAGATCTATTTGTGGCCTCTGGTTGGGCAACAGTTTTAAGGAACATCTGTTCTTCCTCCTGGCATCTTTCATGTTTTACAAAATCCGGTCAGGCATTTTCCTGACCAGAGCGGAGAGGATTCATGGTCCAAACCAAGTGGATCAGATGAAAATCCATTGGAGGAATGCTAACTTTTTGAAAAATGAACCATTCAGCATTTTAATGTGGACTATAGCAGAGAAAATGCTCCGAACCAAGTGACTACTCCACCTTGTGACCCGTCCTGCTCCACCCAGAGGCTACTCCACCTCTGCTGCTGTGACCGGAAGGGCTGTTGCAGATTATTACTATTGTTAGCTTTTTTTTAATTATCAATTTTATTTTTTATTTTTGCTGCTACTAGACACCTGAATTATCTAGGTGTCCAGATAATTCAGGTGTATCTATCTATCTGTCTATCTGTCTCATCTTGTGTGTAAATATATGTTAGTTAAGCAATCATTTGTCTGAGTTTTTCCAGGTTGAACTGTTGTATATTGAAATTGTTATTCAGGGTCTCGTGATTCAGCTTTTCAGTCCTGGAGTTGTCTTCATCCTGACATTGGCCTTCATCACTTGTAGTTTAATTTGTTTGTTTTAAGTGTTCTTTCACACTTATTGGCCTGGTTCACCAGTTTTTGGCCAGTTAACGTGAACCAGACCCACAAGCGTACGTCTGCTATAGACTGTGATACACACAGAGTTACCACAACAATCTCAAACATGTTCTCTGTCCCCAGGCAGCCGTGTGCCGCAGCAGCCAGCCCCTGTCTGGGTTCAGTGCGCGATGCCTGGAGGATGAGCAGATGTTGGGGGCCGTGCTCAGGTCCAACCCCCGCAGTGAGGTCGTCTATGTGGTGGACACCCGGCCCAAAGTGAGTCCTGCGTCCAAAAGCAACAGAACAACAGCTCATGTATACAGCCATGTGTGTCCAGCTGCACCAGGCCTCCCTCAGCTGCTCATAGTAAATGCCTACACAGGACGTCCTGCACAATAACACAATATATAGATACATATGTCAACAACATGTAGAGGGCGACGTTTTAAGTTTCTTCATGTTTTCAGTAGAGACATTTAGCCTTAGCTCCAATGTAGGCTTAAAGCAGAGGTGTCCAAACCGGCTGCAGATTTTCTATCAGACCCAGCAGGAGCAGCGCAGACTCAGCCTATTTCCTCAAGTGAGCTCAGTCTTGACCTGAAGATTTGATGAAATGGGTGGAGTCTGCTCTTCTCCTGCTGGGTCTGATAGAAAACCTGCAGCCACAGTGGCCCTTTCTGGACCGGTTTGGACACCACTTGCTTAAAGTTTCTGTTTTATTTTATTTTTGTATATATATATAATTGTCTTTATTTGCATTCTTTCAAAGTCTGACCACTCATGGCAGATGGCAATGACAATTCAAAACAAAAAGCGGCCCCAAATACAGCTAAAAAACCAGATCAGATCATACAGGCATCAATCAATAAAAAGACAAAACAAAAGTAGATGAGCAAACAAGAATATCAGACAGACAAGATACAGACAGATTTTCCAAGTTTCCTGAGGCCTCTTCAAGTCCTGCACGGATCCTCTAATAGCACCACTAAAACATGAACTTTGTATTTGTGCTCGTGTTTGCTTGTCTTTAGTTGAATGCGATCGCCAACAGAGCGGCCGGAAAGGGCTACGAGAACGAGGACAACTACTCCAACATCAAGTTTCAGTTCATGGGCATCGAGAACATCCACGTCATGAGGAACAGTCAGCAGAAAATGTTGGAAGGTGGGAGCTTTATATACACTGTACAAATACATCAGTGTTTGGACATTCAGTGAAACTACAGCCATTTGATAGATTACTGTAATTATAAGAAAGATTGAACTGGCTTTTCAATCAATACTTTCCTACACAAGGCTACACAATTATAGTACAGTAGCTAATGTTGATCTGAATAAAAACAAACAACCCTGTATCACATCAGGCATAAATCATAAACATAAAAATCTACAAAAACATTACAAAATACAATTAACATATCACATGGCTTTAAAAACAAACATTAATATCACAAGAAAAGTTTAAAAACAATTAAAAAAAAGGTTATTAAAAACCTTACAAAATCAAAACCACACATGGGATTAAAATCTTTTAATTCGTAGACAGTATTCCAATCTTGAATTCATTATGTTACAAAACTGTCTTGAGGTCTGTTTTCTGTCTATATTAATATTGATCCCCACCTCTGTCTCGCTAAGATCAGGAACCTCTGGCACAAACTCAGCCCTCTGACGCAGTTGTCAAATATTTGGTATTCCTTTGTCTAACTGAGATGTCATGGATAGTTTTCTGTTTTGAAGTCAACTCCAAATTACCTTTAAAGGCATCACTCCACACCTTCATTCACACCACGCTTATTACACTGTAAAAGCAAAATGGAATTCAATGGGTTTCTTTGAAAAAGTGATAAAAATGAAAATGTTAGTATTCACAAAAATATGTTGAAGGGGCAACGTTAACGGAATGAATGCATAATAATAATAATTTCCATATCCGACAGTGGGTCTTTTGTTATTAATTATGGTAATTACTAAAAAAGAGGCCTAAAGCAAGTGTTATTGTGCTAAAATGGACTTTGAGTAAACCACTATACCCCAAACCAAGCTACACTCTGGAGCCTTGACCCAATCCAGGACCAAACCTGAAGACCATAGACTTCCACCAGTACTAACCCAGACCCAAACCTCGTTCCCAGGCTCTGAATCATAAACAAAACAAAAACAAACTCCACACTTTGGCCACTTACTCTAAATCCATCCATCACTGTCAGATATTTCGTCACATTTATATATTTATTGCACATATTACAGCCCTAGTTTTGTCCAAATAGATCCTTGTTTAGTTCAGCTGCAAGTGGGACCCCTTCCCCCTGTGGCTTCCAAATGCCTTTGTACAGAAAAGCCTTTGCTGGAACCAGGCCTCAGAGCGGATCCATGGAGAGGTTCTGGGTAGTGTCCGGGGTCCTGCAAGGAAGACTTTGAAAATCCCATCTGGACTGTATTTTGAGGCTATTTTGGTTTCCTGGCGTGGATGATCTGGGCCCTCATGCCCCAAACAGAGACAGGAGGGCGTGAGAAGAGCCAACGATTTACGATGAAAAGTTGTAGCATGGATTTTAGTTGTGATAACTTTGTGCCCCCCGGTGATGCAAAAGGGAAGTCTGTCTGTTTGGAGAGACAAATGAAGCCAGATTGTAATTACAGTTTGTGGACCACCCTCCCACCAAGGATTACATAGATCCTCAGAGGGGCATCTGAACCTGTTCACCTGACTGTCCCAGAGAGAGCATTGAGTGCATGTGGAAGCTAGGCCTGATCGCCATAAGAACGAACTATATTTTTGATGAGATGTGTTACAGAAACGTTTAAACTTTAAGCTTTCTTCAGGATTAGCATTATTTAATTGTTTCCCTTTGTGTTTGGTATTCCCATTGAATTATGCATATTTAATCATCTATCTTTCCCTGCCAAAGAAGTACAAAAGGTTGGGCATAAAACAATACGTACAGTACTCGTGTTTCTTTGAAGTTCTTATACACTACAAAAAGTGACAAAATATAAGTTGATAAATTCTTGAATCAACTCTTTTTTTTCTTAAAGTGATTGTCTGGAGTTTGTCAAAAAAAAAGAGAGAGAGGTACTTGATTTGAAAAAAAACGACGCAAGCTCCCTCCCCCTTCCTTTCTGATTGGTCTACACCCACGTTTCCGTAACATATTTAAATGTTAATCGGAAAATACATTATACATATACATTATTAATACACATGCACGGAGGTTTTCAGAATGATTTGTTTACGTCTTCATGAAAAATGTACAAAAAAAGCAAACCCGGAACAAGCTATTATCATGAATAGGACACATCTACAGGATCTGATTATGGATATAGGTTCAGTATATAAATGATTATGGATATAGGTTCAGTATATAAATGATTATGGATATAGGTTCAGTATATAAATGATTATGGATATAGGTTCAGTATATAAATGATTATGGATATAGGTTCAGTATATAAATGATTATGGATATAGGTTCAGTATAAATGGGTAACTCAGCGCAGATGTTCAGAATTCTTTGTTCAGTTTTCATGTAGTTCCAGAGCCTAATGGAGGCTTGATTCGGAGGTTCCGCGAAAACAAACAACTGAGCATGAGCAGCTACGATGATTGACAGCCCTTGGCATGACTCGATTAGTTAAAGTCGACGGCATCGTGGATTCTGAACTATAGCTAACTTATATGACTTATTTTATATCAACATTAAAAGCCAGAAAGTCAATTTAATACAATTCTTAAAATGTGTAATTCATTTAAAGTTCCAGACTATCACTTTAATTTAAGTATATTTTGACTTTCTTACAACAAGATTTGCCAATGGAACTAGCCATTTGGTCTTTTTTCAAGTGCTGTTGCGATTTTTGTCTCATTCCAAGAGAGACATTTCTTGATTTGTCTTGTATATTTTTAAAACAAGACATTTTTGCTTGTCCCAATGGCAAATCTTGCTTTAAGACTGTCAAAGCGTGCACAAATTAAGATAAAACCACTTGATTCAAGCATTTATCACCTCATATTTTATAATTTTTTGCAGTGTATTGCTCATATTTGCATTAAAAAACACAAAATCAACGCAAAAAAACATAATCACCGAGAGTATTAAGTCCAACATGAGTGTGACACAAACGGCTACTGAGCTAGAGGCGTTTACTTCCTAATCTAAGTCAATAGGAACCAGAGAGGGTCGGAGCAAAAGTTCTTTCATAAGTTATATACAGTATAGTTATGTCAAAAAATTAAAAATTATAATGTATTGAGCTGTTGTAGCTGTGGCGCTAGCTAGTTCACCTCTGTCCAATGTGAATTCATACGCACATACCACCGCATCTTTAGAGCTCAGAACATCCCGTCAAAATAGTACTAAATGTGTTCGATCAATATCAGGAAGCAAAGCCTTCTCTTCTAGACTCTGCGTATTTTGATATTGACACTAAAGCGTACGAATTCCCTGCTCCTCTGTGTTCATTCCTTGCTTTTGAATCTGGTCTTATGTTCCTCTGTGTGTGTTTGTGGACGGTGACACTGGTGACACCGGGATGTGACAGCTGTGTTGTGCTTCCAGTGTGTGAGCTGCGGAGCCCCTCCATGTCCGACTTCCTGGAGGGACTGGAGAACTCAGGATGGCTCAAACACATCAAAGCCGTTCTGGACGCCGCCGCGTTCATCTCTAAGGTCTGACAGGGAATCACAACATCACTCATTCATACTGTTTTCAATGATATTATGTTATTATCATTGGCTAAAAGTTGTGTATTTCTCACTTTGAATCAGAGAAAATGACTTATTCTTTTGTTTGATTCACTTTTAAGACAGCTGGGTATATTTCAGAGCCTGCAGATACGATACTTATCTCGATACAGGGAACTCCTAACTCGATACAATATTTTTCTAAACAATACCGTACGGTTCAGTAAAAAATAAGTAAGTAAGTAAGTAAGTAATGTTTATTTATATACCGCCTTTCACAGACAAGGGTCACAAAGCGGTTTACAATTGTTATTATTTTTTTGGGCATTTGTCCTCTCACTCCAGACAGAGATGGGAGCGGGGTCGCCAGTACAGGAGGCGCATGCCAGACCTATTGTACATATTTTTAGTGGTAGGGGAAACCGGAGTACCCGGAGGAAACCTACGCAGACACGGGGAGAACATGCAAACTCCACTCAGAAAGGCCCTGGTCCGACCGGGATTCGAACCCAGGACCTTCTTGCTGAGAGGCGAGAGTGCTATCCACTCAGCCACCGTGCCGCCCTAAATAAAAGGTTTGGGGCCCTAATCTAACACTGCCACAGTTTAACAAACATACAACACAGGGTGATAGTGGCTCAGTTGGTTGTGGGTTCAAGCCCACCATGAGACCTACTTTACGACTCCCACTGATGTCTGCTGTCATTGTGTCCTTGGGCAAGACACTTAACCCCACTTTGCCTGAAGCCCCCACTGAAAGATCAATGCTCCTGTGGACTCACCACCTGCAGGAGGAACAGTGTGTACCCAGAAATGGATTAAGGGGAAGAAAATGGATGGATGAGGATGAATTGTTTTGCAGATCAAAATATAAAAATAAAAAAAGAATGGTATTTACTTGAACTAAAAGAAATCAGAAAAAAATAAGTCATACAGGCATCAATTCTATTCTTCTAGATATTGATATTTATGTAAAAAGAAGTTTTAGAATTTTTGTTATTGTTTTTTAAAAATGAAGTTTGTCTAATTCATCACATACAGCCCTAAATCACAATAGTAAGTTATCTCGGAGGACTTTACAAAGTTGTCGATTCGCCAACACAGATCAGAGAATCAATCAATGTCCATGAATGTTGATAGTTGTCCATAAATGTGGTTAAATGTCTGTGTTTGCCCCCAGGCCGTGGCCGAGGAGGGGGTGAGTGTCCTGGTGCACTGCTCAGACGGATGGGACAGAACGTCTCAGGTTTGCTCCGTGGCCTCGGTGCTGCTGGACCCTCACTACCGGACCCTCGGGGGATTCATGGTAAGAATTACATCTAAAACCATCAGAGGCATCACTCCAGCAGCCTGGAACTTCTCCTCAGGCCCTAGTGCTTCCCTCGTGGACTGTTTATTTGAAGGGTTCTGTCCAAGATAACTTTAAATCCTTTGAGTCGCAATGGGAGACGGCTGCGGTAGAAAGACAAATCTCCAGGAGCGTACCACCCATAGTCTCAGGACTGGGGCCCACACAGAGCATAGCAGCAATGAAGAGCTGCGATATTAAATGTGTATTATTTTTGATTCACAATATCCCAAACTGGGAAATGTGTTTTATACTGGATGTAGTTAGAGCATTATTATGTACACTGCAAAAAGTGACGCAAAATAAGTCTAAAATTCCGCAAATTTGGCTAAATGTATCTTGATTCGAGCACATTTTGACTGGCTTAAAACTAGATTTGCCAATGGGACAAGCTAAATTATCTAACTTATCAAAAAGATTCAAGAAATGTCTCCCTTGAAATTAGAAAATAAAGCAACAGTTCTTGAAATAAGACTAAATGGCTTTGTCCCAATGGAAGACAGTCAGAATGTACTAAATTAAGCAATTATTACCTCATATTTTACCATTTTTTTGCAGTGTGAGGGGGATCTTACTGTCATTTTGATATAGTTTGCGATAAAATATTCTAGTCAAATCAAACTTCCTTCACAGCATTTTCCATTACTGCTGTGCATCAAATGTTTCGAATAATATCACAATACATTTTTTTATTTGTTTCAGGTCCTGATTGAAAAAGACTGGATTTCGTTCGGGCACAAGTTTTCTCATAGGTTTGGCTTTTTTACCAATTCCTCGTCAAAATCAGACCTGGAGATATATTTCTACTCCATCCACGCTAATACTGCATATCAAAAAATCACATCCCCCCGCCCCTTTTGTGTGAATGCTCCTATCTCAAACAAAGTACTCGTTTCAGGTACGACTTTGGGGCAAGACACTTCCCCCACTTATTATATATAAAATAAAATAAAACACAGATTGTACTTGTTGTCAACAACTGTAACTGTATTTAATTGTATGTAACAAATAATAATAAAAACAACAACTCTAAACTGAATAAAATAAAATGAAATCTCTTAACAGTTAACCGTTCACAACTTTGTTAAAAAAGTAAACGCTATGTAGATTTTAAAATTGTATGTCTAATTTTATCTTGCTTGCACCAAAAGCCAAAGTAATCTTCTAGTTTCTTGTTACTCACAATGGCAATAAAAATAATTCTGATTCTAAACATTCTCCAGATCATTTAGAAGACCAACTTTGACGATAACCCGTTTGGCCGTTTCTCGTGTGTTTTCAGGTGTAACCACGTGGACGGCGATCCGAAGGAGGTGTCCCCAATCATAGACCAGTTTCTGGAGTGCGTGTGGCAACTGTCGGAGCAGTTCCCCTGTGCCTTCGAGTTCAACGAGAGGTTCCTCATCACCATCCATCACCACGTCTACTCCTGTCAGTTTGGAAACTTCATCGGCAACAACCAGAAAGAGAGAGAGCAACTGGGGTGAGTTTATACAAGAAAAGACTGTGGGTAAAACAACGCTTTCTTTATTCATCCTGAGAAATGGTCTGTGACTGATATAGTGAAGTGTCTACGCATTCTTTCCAGCTGTGGGAGGAGACGGGAATCATTTTAAAATCAGTATTTAGCTTTTAACAAACAAAAACAAGATTATAAAATATATGAAGAAGCTTGTTTTCTAAATATTGCACTAATCACAATATGGATCATTTTAATAAGGCTCTTATTCAGTAAAAACATTGGTTCCATGGCTAATTCAAGTTGCTGTTGTCTAGTGATGTTGGTCTTAGGTCTAAAAATAAATTAAAGCTGAGGTACCCAAGTTATACTCCTGGTTCTATAGCCTGTTTGTTCTTGGGAGTGGACTGTGGCTTCTCCTTCTCCCTTTCTTTGGAGGAACACCTGTCACTTCTGGCCTTTTTCCTCTAGAGCGGGCGTGTCAAACCGGTTCCAGAAAGGACCGCTGTGGCTGCAGGGTTTAGTTCCAACCTGAGCAGGAGCACACCAGACTCAAAGCTTCAGTCATTTCCTCAAATCTTCAGGTTAAAACTGGATTCACCCGAGGAAAGGGGCGGAGTCTGGTGTTCTCCTGCTGAGGTCAGAACTAAACCCTACAGCCACGCAGGCCCGTTTAGGACCGGTTTGACACGCCTGCTCTAGAACATTCAGAGCATTTTGGACTAGAAACAAATGGACGATCTATGAGGAGCTGAGGCTGCAGTTTTGGCCTCTGATTTAACAATTATAAGTGGTAACAAACTATGCATCTTTGAATGTCCAAAAAGCGCTATACAGGTATTATTATTTAGTATGATTATTATTATTACTACTGTTATTATTATGCACAGATAAATGTCAAATGTCCGTCTTGTCTGACAGTAGAATGACCATCTGATGAGTTTTGGATCTTCCCCTTTCAGTTAAAAGTCATAAAACATTAGATTTAAAGACGCATGTAGAACTTTATTAGTCTGTAAAACTAATATTTTGTTCAAACTCGTCCGGATTCATCTCAGAATGTCAGATTTCTCTGGAAGTAAAAAAGATACAGATATTTCTATGTTTCACTTGTACAAATAATCCAATAACAAGAAATTATAAAGTATCAATTAGCACACAGAGTGAGGGCTGTATTTTCAAGGTGTGTCTGTGTGCGTGTGTGTTTGCAGAATTCAGAAGAGGACTCACTCTCTGTGGAGTTATCTGTGGTCAAACAGAGCCGACTTCATTAACCCTCTGTACAGACCCAACCACAGCCAAACCCTGGGCGCGCTCCGGCCCTCTACTGCCCCCCACTGCTTCAAGTTAGTATTTTTGTTATTTGGCTTTTTGTCATGTTTATAATAGCTCAATGAACTTAATATTAAATTTACTTTATTTGCGCATTCACTCATTCCCCAGAGTGCACCAGACAAGCACATACAATAAAACAAGTTAAAAAAGGTCAAGAAAAGATTATCAGTGTGAAACCAATCAACAAAAACAGCTTCAAAACAAGAGCAAGATCGTTTTGACAGCAGAAAGAAGCTTTTAGCAATGACAGAGGAAGAAGCTGGAACATGGCTGTTCCAGGGTTACCAGAAGAGTCATTGATTATTCTATGACAAAACAGGCTCATGGGCCAAATCCGGCCCACAAGACAATTTTAAGTCGCCCCTAAAATGATTTTCAATTATTATTATTAACTCTTGCAGTATTGATGGTATGTTATACATCATCTATTTTCTCAGGAAAACAAACAAAATATATTTATTCTAACATTTTAACCCAACACATCATTAGAAGTTAAATAGTTAAATATAAAACAATGTGGTTAACTTTTTATAATTGGTCCAGTTTTGTTTAAATCTAAACAATAAATACATTTTGTTTTCAGAAAAATCAACCAGAAAGTAATTTTGAAACATGACGATTTTTTGACATGACGTTAATCTATCTATTTATAACTTCAACATTAATTAATCCCATCTTGTTTTTGTTCCCGTACAGGTTCTGGGGCGGCCTTTACAACCGTTTCGAGCGCGGGGTGCACCCTCGACAGTCGGTGGAGGATTGCCTCCGGGCGATACGGGAGGAGACGGAGCAACTGGAGGAGCAGCTGGCGTCTCACAAACAGGTGAGAGTCGTGCAGTCGCTCAGGAAACAGGCTTTTGGTTCTTTTTTTTAGAACGTGTGAGCATTAATCGTACACCGGTAGATTACATCCACGGTTAAAGCTGGGGTACCTCACTTTGAAAATAAGTGGGAGATATGTTATAAAATACATCTAACTCATTCTAGGTTTCTAAAGCAGACGGTTGTATCACTTGTTCTTGATCTACCAAGATTGATTGCTTTTTTTGTTTTTTTTCTAAGCCAAAAATAAACAGGATTGGTGCTAATGCTAACGTGCTGGTAAGCTAGAGGACATAGATGTTTTTACATAAGGCTTTGATGGATATTAATGTTAATGGGTTTATTTTAAAAAGGAGAGGAAAACATGGAGACAAATATTTGGAATCTGGTGTTTTGAATGTGTGGTTTTATGTATGTACTTGTATTCATGTATCAAAACAAATGTATTTTATTTATTATTGGTTTGGATCTTATTGTTTTGGGTTGTTTCATTCTGAACAAAATTAGTTCAGTTATGTTTGAATTAAACAGAACTGGACAGAATGCCTGAGAAGTGTTACTGATACAGTTTCATTGTTTGGAGTGAAGTGAGTGATGGTGTAACTTTCCCTGAGAAAATTTACTTTAAAATGAGATTTAACAAACCAGGGTATCATATTGACTGGATGTGAGACTTTTTATATGGGAAAAAGTGTATATTTGTTCATATTTGACCATTACAGTGTGTGGTAGAGACCCAGCGACTGTATGAGTGGTCAGGATGGCATCTTCACTTTCATAGTGTCTCTAGGATCAAGTGTTCGAACAGTTTTCTCTGCTGTGGGACCCTCGCACCAGAAAACAGACAAAACAATTGATCCTGGAGAACCGAGGACACAACCAAAATCAAAATTAAAACACCCAGTCCACTCTTACAGCCACTGGGTCACTACAAGACGTTACTACACGCAAAAATATCAACTAATTTAACATAAAAAGTTGCATAATTTCACAAACTTAAAATTGATCGAGCTTTTGACGTGTTTACTACGTACCTTTAGTGGGTTATTTGTGGTCTCTGATCCATATTGAGTGGTTTTTGTTTTGCTCAAATATTCACAATGGAGTTTTTAAATGACAAATAAACTGAACTATCTTTTGTCTCATAGAAAATCTCAAAGCTGGAAGGGCAGAAGTGGACGGTGTCAAACATTTTTGACAAGAGTCCGACGGCCTGGATCTTCACTCCGGACCTGAGACTGGCCAACACCCCGCAGGACTACACCTCCTGCTTCCTCACCAGCGGCACGCGAGCAGCAGAGGACAGTCCAGACCTCACTCCACCGGATCTTAACCAAACGTCCAATGATCTAAACCAAACGTCCAGCTTCAACACCTCCAACAGCAGCGACCACGAGTCCGGTGTGGCCGACCTGAGCGCCCAGTCTCCCTTCAGTGAAGACGGCACCAGAGATTCAGATGAAGCGGCCAATTCTGCAGCATAAGTGAAACAAGAGGAGTCTGGGTCTGTGTAGGAAGCGTTTGAAAACATATTTAAAGCTGGGGTACCTAACTTTCAAACTACAAAAGGGAACTGTGTAGTGAAATATCACACAATGAATACTAAAACGTTAATCACTCTCAAAATAGTTTAGTTCTATCATGAGTTCTCAGTGGCATGTATTTTGGTCTTTGTCACATTTAAATCAGCTTTTTCAGACGGAATAATGAAAAAGAGAGGACCACACTCAGCCAATCAGCTCTCAGTATATACAATACAATACAATGTATTCTTGTACAGTATAGCACTAAATCACAATAGTAGTCATCTCAGAGTTTGTAAAAGGTGCTTTCTAATAAGATATAAAACAGCATGTTGTGGTCCAGCATTAATCTCTTTCTGTGAGAACAAACTGTATGTATAATATTTACAAATATCTAAAATGTATTATTTATAAAACAAAATGTAAGGTACCTCTCCAGCATCCAAATTCATGCAGATAATTCAAATTAAGAAGTCAATTACAAATGATTTTTTGACTAAACAGGAAGTTGTATGTGATCATTGAATTTTCCCCTCTGCAGGGAAACTAAAAGGATCTGGTATCTCGTATCAATACAAAAAATAAATATCAAATGTAATTCTTAATGTCACCACTAGATGCCGCCAAATATCACAGACTGCACTTTTCTGCTTGATGCCTCCTTAGTGACTGTAACGTGTGGGTTTGGTTCTTATATACAAGTCGTTCTAAGTGGTATCTTTACAAATGTATGCAAGCACATTTCCTTCATGGATCAACAGAACTTTATAGTTTGCATGAGGTTTTCTTGCTCAACAGAAACACAAGGTAGTAGTAATTAGTATTTAAGTCATTTGCAAGGAGTTAACACTATGTATCATCAAACATGTTAAAACAGTCAAACCTCTATGGCCTATTATGCACATAATGCATATTCTAAATGTTTTTTTTTTTTGCTTTTACTAATGTGTTATTATTTGCACTTTTGGCCAGTGGAGAACAAAATGTGTAATTTAAATTTCAGTTTAGTTTGGTAAGATTGTCTGATGAATGATGCAACATTGTCAGAGATTAAAACTAGATTTGGGCTTTTTCGTAGACTTTTATTTGTATCTAATGTAATGAAAGACTTTGAGTTTCATGTTGTTTTCTTTATGACCTCACAGGAGCTAAAGCATCAATATAAATGTTTACGCAAAGTATTTAAGCAGTTTATTTTTGTACGGTTTGTCATTTTATAATTTTGGCCTCAAATAAAATGCAAGGCTTTTTACATTTGTGCGTTTTTTATTCATATTATTCCGTTTTGTACAAAAACATTTACTGTATAACTAGACAACACTTGGAAAGGGAAGTTTATTTGTATGGCACAGTTCTTACACAAGCCCAACTCAAAGTGCTTAAATATACAAGACAGAAACACTCATCAAAAAGGGGGACGATACAATCTTTCACAAAGCTAGAGAGAACTGTTTTGACCTGGATGTGAACATTTTCAGAGAGATTGTCCAGATTTTAGCTGCATGAATCTGAAATGCTTGTCATGTTTAGTCCTGACTCCGGGCACCAGCAGGAGTCCAGTCTCTGTCCCACTAAACCTAATATACATTTATAAATACCAATGCATCTAAATACACAAGTGAAGCTTAAGTCACTTTTTTATAATATGTACTGCACAAAAGAGACTATATTTTGACCTTTTTAGCATGTTGCACACTTTCTTTTTGCACAACCTGAGTGATTCTATTGATGCCAAACGTGACATGTACATTTCTCCATTATGAAAGATCAATTCAGTTATAATGAATCATCAAAGGTCCGACAGAGCATAGCATAGAGCATAGAACTACAAAGACAAAGATCTATGGTTCCACCAGAGAAACCTCATGAATCACCCCCAGTGGGACAGGGACCACAGTTTGACACTCATCACGTGCTTTCACTACAACCCTAAAGGCATTCCCCCTTGTAACCGCTAGATGTCACTGTCTGATACCAAATGTTATTATTGATGACTACAGGAAAGTTTTAACATTTGTATCAAACCTGTGACTGTGCACTGTCTTCTTGCCGCAAACCAAACGCCCTTTTCACAATTTTTTTTAAAAAAATTATTAAATGTGGTGTTTGTAGAGCAGCACATGCGCCCGTACTTACGCAGTGACGTGTGGCTGTGCGTGGCGGGGTAGCCTACAGGATGATGGCAGCCGTGGGTTGACACCGCTGCATTTCTCAACATAAACTATTGAAAAGTTGTCGAAAAGCCCCCGACACTGTAGCGTGACGACCCCCAGAGTTTGCACGGTGTCCCCGCGTCCACGCCTCAGCCTCTGCTCCGGGAACGGTGAGTTTGGGAGGCTGCAGCTGCACACACACCTACGGGTCACCCTCTACTCACATGTCCAGAGCTGCGGTGGCGAATGCAAGAGTCAAATCTAAGTGTTACATGTGCACTGTGTCTCTGTCTGACTGCTAACCTCTGTGCACGGCGTTCAGAGCCATAAGCGTGCTGCACAGAGCCTAGCTAAGCGTCAGGCTAATGTGGGCATGAGCCGCCTGTCTACAGTATGCACTTACATGGTGTCAGCCACAACTACGCCTGTCTGCAGCTCCAGGAGGACATGCTGAAGCCTCTGTGTACTGTGCTCACCCTGATGTTGATGTGTCTCTGTGCATGCAGTGGCACTATGCCCGCAGCTACTGTGGATCACAGCCAAAGAATATGTGAGGTTTGGGCCAATAACCTGGAGGAAGAGTTGAAGAGGATCAGACATGTCATCCGCAAATACAACTACATTGCTATGGTATGAACATCCATCACGCATCTGGGGAGCAGTGTGGTGCTTGTGGCATGGGTTTGAGGCGTCCAGGCTGTGTTTTAAGGCCAGCAATATTGATGACTGGACATTACATCAACAAAGATAACATTGGATTACAATAGATGATTATTGCTTAAAGATAATGTCATAACATCATCCAGTCTCAGTACATGTCTGATTACACATGTCTGCTTATTGTGCTAAAATAATGTCCTCTTTGTAGGACTAATAAAGATGTCATTCATTCATTCATTCAATATGAATTGGTGTTACCCCCTGGTTTCTCTTTTGGGTACTTGTCAAAAATGTGTTGATTTGATAGTATTGTGATATATGAGCCACAATTCCATATTTTAGCAATTTTTAACATATGACATTGCAGCAAGTATTGCGATTTGATTCTGTGATATTTTGCGGTTGTTGTCCCTCATATTATTCAAAGTCACTACAAAAATTGAGGAAAATAAGACTGTTCAACTCTTTTTAAAATAGTCTGCACATTAAATGAAGAGCAAAAACGTCCTTCATGAACATTCAGGACACAGGACCTTATTACAGGACAATCATAATTATTTTCTGAACAGGTGACCTCTGATATGAATGATGAACTCCTAGCACAAAACTTATCTAAAATAGACTAGAGCAAACATAGAACAGACATAATGGAGTAACAACAACCTCAGATGTACATTACCAGAATAAACTCAGAGAAACTACAAAAGTAAAACAGATAATTATTGAATTAAATATCACAAAACTATTCTAACCAGTGTATCCATTATGTTACGTGTGCAAAACATGTCGATGCCCAACTGTGTCTGCCATCGATGCCTGTGTGCGACTTGACTCTGTGTCTTTTTTTCTCCGCAGGACACAGAGTTTCCCGGAGTGGTGGCGCGGCCGATCGGAGAGTTCAGGAGTAACGCAGATTATCAGTACCAGTTACTGCGCTGCAACGTGGACCTACTCAAGATCATCCAGCTCGGACTCACCTTCATGAATGAGCAGGGAGAATATCCTCCAGGGACGTCCACATGGCAGTTCAATTTTAAATTCAACCTCACGTAAGATTGTATTGTTTTTTATTAGAATGACCAGACCAATCTGTCTCTATCTGATCTGAGCTGCTCTCATACGATCTTCAATATGTTTTCTGTCATTGCATCAGGCTATGGCTTTTGAACATTGGGAAGAATAAACCCAATAGAAAAGTTCCTTGATCAAACCAATACTGAACCATCATCAAACTTATGCCAACAGTTTGTGTAGTCACCAGAGTATTATAAAATGGTCGACTAACTAGGTATAAACAGTAGGTCAGGCTAGATAAAAAGGGCTTCACAATGAATACTATCCAAATCACAAATTTAGTTAGCAAATGGTGTTAATTGAAAACAGAAACAAGATATACATTTGGAATTTGGGGAAAAAGTGCCTTCGTTTGGACTTTATTATGAAAATCTGTCAATGAAACACAGAAAACCTTTTTTTTGTCGGGCAGAATCATCTCATCTTTACATAAACTGTCAGAATGTGCAAGAAGCCCTAATATGGAGCCCATGAACCAACGGCTCCATGTGTTTGTTATCAATGCATTCCCCGTGTTCCAACTGTTTGATTCTCTGATCTGTTGTTGATGAATCGCCAACCTTGCCAAGTCTTTCAAGACCACTGTGTATGGATTAATTATTGTAGGTGTAAACGTGTGTTTCTCTTCTGTTAGGGAGGACATGTACGCGCAGGACTCTATCGAGCTTCTCACCACGTCAGGAATCCAGTTTAAGAAGCACGAGGACGAGGGCATCGAGACGCTGTACTTCGCAGAATTGTTGATGACGTCTGGAGTCGTGTTGTGCGACGGCGTCAAGTGGCTTTCCTTCCATAGGTACTGAACCCACACTTCCATAGGTACTGAACCCATACTTCCATAGGTACTGAACCCATACTTCCATAGGTACTGAACCCATACTTCCATAGGTGCTAAACTCATACTTCCATAGGTGCTAAACTCATACTTCCATAGGTGCTAAACTCATACTTCCATAGGTGCTAAACTCATACTTCCATAGGTGCTAAACTCATACTTCCATAGGTGCTAAACTCATACTTCCATAGGTGCTAAACTCATACTTCCACAGGTGCTAAACTCATACTTCCATAGGTGCTAAACCCATACTTCCATAGGTGCTAAACCCATACTTCCATAGGTACTGAACCCATACTTCCATAGGTACTGAACCCACACTTCCATAGGTACTGAACCCATACTTCCATAGGTACTGAACCCATACTTCCATAGGTACTGAACCCATACTTCCATAGGTGCTAAACTCATACTTCCATAGGTGCTAAACTCATACTTCCACAGGTGCTAAACTCATACTTCCATAGGTGCTAAACCCATACTTCCATAGGTGCTAAACCCATACTTCCATAGGTGCTAAACCCATACTTCCATAGGTGCTAAACTCATACTTCCATAGGTGCTAAACTCATACTTCCATAGGTGCTAAACTCATACTTCCATAGGTGCTAAACTCATACTTCCATAGGTGCTAAACTCATACTTCCATAGGTGCTAAACCCATACTTCCATAGGTGCTAAACTCATACTTCCATAGGTGCTAAACCCATACTTCCATAGGTACTAAACCCATACTTCCATAGGTACTAAACCCATACTTCCATAGGTGCTAAACCCATACTTCCATAGGTGCTAAACTCATACTTCCATAGGTGCTAAACTCATACTTCCATAGGTAATAAACTCATACTTCCATAGGTGCTAAACTAATACTTCCATAGGTGCTAAACTCATACTTCCATAGGTGCTAAACTCATACTTCCATGGGTACTAAACTCGTACTTCCACAGGTGCTAAACTCATACTTCCATGGGTACTAAACTCATACTTCCACAGGTGCTAAACTCATACTTCCATAGGTACTAAACCCATACCTCCATAGGTGCTAAACTCATACTTCCATAGGTGCTAAACTCATACTTCCATAGGTGCTAAACTCATACTTCCATAGGTGCTAAACTCATACTTCCATAGGTGCTAAACTCATACTTCCATAGGTGCTAAACTCATACTTCCATAGGTGCTAAACTCATACTTCCATAGGTGCTAAACTCATACTTCCATAGGTGCTAAACTCATACTTCCATAGGTGCTAAACTCATACTTCCATAGGTGCTAAACTCATACTTCCATAGGTGCTAAACCCATACTTCCATAGGTACTAAACCCATACTTCCATAGGTACTAAACCCATACTTCCATAGGTACTAAACCCATACTTCCATAGGTACTAAACCCATACTTCCATAGGTACTAAACCCATACTTCCATAGGTACTAAACCCATACTTCCATAGGTACTAAACCCATACTTCCATAGGTACTAAACCCATACTTCCATAGGTACTAAACCCATAAGCATAATATTATGTTATATAATACCCAAATATATATATAATATTTTATCATTGGTTTTGGCTCTTATTCCTTTACAGTATTTGCTGGACTAATGAGTGCAGCTGTGATTCAAAAAGGTTCATTTTGAGTAAAAATATTTGTTGTGGTTCCTTTGAAAGTTTGATGCGTTACATGTGTCTTTTATCAGCTGATGTTACTCCTGAGAAGGCGCCCTCTCAATCTGGATTTCAGATCACAGCAAAAGAAAAGATTAGTACCTACATGGGCATATTTGGGCATCCCCTGGTCTTCCCGGTTCTGCGCAGTGGACTATTTCCCATGATGCTTTGCGCAAAAGTTTGTTGCACGATTTATAGAAAACTGAATGATTCAACATGAAAAACAGTTCAGGATGACAAAGGACACTAAAATCGCCACAAAATGCAACCTTTATGAAAGCCGTAGGTTCTCTGTCAGGTTCTCTGTCAGCTGAGGTCGAGCTGTTTTAGTTTACACTGAGTTCTATGGAACTTTTTTCTGGGTCGCCCACGTGAATTTAGTCTGCAGTACCACAGCGCCCCCTGTGACCATAGGTGGGACAGCTATACGCTAGTAATACTCTATCCAGTTGTTATTATAGATCCATGCCACAGTTACGTCAAAGAAAGGGTTAAAGGTTATTGTGCTATTCTGCTCATTCTGTTTACAAACACTAACCGTAAATCCTTTGCGTTTCAGTGGATATGACTTCGGATACCTGATAAAGATTCTGTCTAATGCAAACTTGCCCGAGGAAGAGGTCGACTTTTTTGAGATCCTGCGTTTATATTTCCCGGTGATCTACGACGTCAAGTATCTCATGAAGAGCTGCAAAAATCTGAAGGTACGTAAGCTGTTTAAAAGTAAACGCTGTAACTGTGTGATTGTGATTGAATTAGTGGATAGATTTTTCAGCTATAATGTGTCTTTAGTCTGTATATTTTAGAAAAAAATGACCTAGCTTGTTTGGACAGCAGAAGGAGACTAGTATTTATAAATGGTGGAGGGCAATTGAAAGTTGTGGAAGGGAATCATCAGACAATGAAATGCTGAAAATGTACAAATGGAAAAAAAGTGCCGAACCACTGGTGCGATGTTATTACCTTTAATGTATTATCCTACATTTGTCAGGTGTAGAAGAACTAATAATAATAATAACAACAATGCATTGGTTTTACATAGCGCTTTTTAAGACACTCAGACGCTTCACGTGTCATTATTCTTTCACTCCATACACAGTGGTGATAAACTACTACTATAGCCACAGCTGCCCTGGGGCACACTGACAGAAGCGAGGCCATTTGCAATTTGCACTTGCAGTATGTGCCATTTGCAACCACCACCAACCATTCACACACACACCAGACTCATTCTAGGCAATAGGGGTGAGTGTCTTGCCTAAGGACACAACAGCAGTTTGGCACTTTACAGCCGCAGCCGCCCCACTGTGGCATCAGGTGTTCCCAGAGGTTAAGTGTCTTGCAAAGGACACAACAACAGCAGACAGTGGGAGTCGGTGGAGAAAGTCTTATGCTGGGCTCGAACCCACGACCTGGCTCAAAGCCCAATGCTCTACCAACTGAGCCACTGTCGCCCTAAACTACGTATTCTTGTAGAGTTCTTCTGTGAACATTTTTTCCTGTTTTAAGCCTCATTCCTGTCCCTCTTTGCTTTCCATTTCTTCCCGTCCACATGGTCTCCAGTCTGGGTGAAGTTTAAGCACCCGCCTCTACTCCCTCCACTGTGTCACCCTCAACCTTCTCAGGCTGATTAAACCCTCCTTTACCCCCACCTCCAGGGGGATTGAGCATTCATCTCATTATTCACCTCTCGTACCTCTCCTCCTGCTCTCTTCTTCTGCCTCTGAAGTTGTGTTTTCGGCCTTGTTTCAGGGTGGTTTGCAGGAGGTGGCAGAGCAGCTGGAGCTGGAGAGGATCGGCCCCCAGCATCAAGCCGGATCAGACTCTTTACTCACAGGAATGGCTTTCTTTAAGATGAGAGAGGTGGGTCTTGGTAAAGAAAGTACCACATGTGACGTCTGCTGTAAAAGTTACCGCTCACTTACAGAATGCAGTAAATGACAGATGACGTATTTGATCTATAGGTGGCCGTAATAGTAGTGGTCATGCCTTGATGTACTTTTAGAGGCTTGTGTCTCAAAGTGCTACTCTGAAGTCACTATTTATCCAGTCTGTGCCGTCTGGCCTCCGCCCACCTCATCACTCACTCACTCACCAGATTTATGGAGAAAAACATCAGCTCTCCACACAGAAAATCCTTGAGGATTGAACCTGCTGCACAATTCTATACTTGGAAACTCGAATACAAAAGATTTAATCATTTGGCCATTTAGTAATAATAGTAGCAGCTGTTGTTATTAGGAAGTAGTTTAAGTCTCTCCAATGTCTCTCCAATGAGATGTCATTCGGTGTGCCTTCGCTAATGATCCAATATCACCTAATTGGTCAAAATAATGTGAAAATACAATTAGAACGATTTTTTTGTGCTTATTTGATTTACTATATAACTCACGTTGATGAGAATGGCTTTCAATTAGTAAAAGAAAATCACAAAAGTAGTTATCTCGGAGGACTTTACAAAACCGTTGTTCAGACTGACAGGCTACAATATTTAGACTTTGCTTTGTTAATGAAAATTAGTTTAATTTTTGTATCAATTTCAGCCACTGGATTCACCCACTGCTAGAATCATAAAATTAAAACAAATTGTCAGAAAGGAGCTATATGTTTTTCCACTGTAGTAAATGTACACAGAATACACCAAAAAAAAAGGTATATATTGTTTTTATTTAATCAGAACATATTTTATTGATTTCTTTTGAGTCTCTTGGAGCTGGGAGATGATTGGTTTTGTGTTAATGAAAAACATATTCAAGCGGGTCAGTGCTGTTGTTGAGTGGAGCTACATTTTTAATATTACTTCAAATGTGCTTTATAATTTCACTGTTTTAAAATCAGGGACCCCAGCTTTAAACCTTTTTGTCCCAACTGAAAGAGTCTGTAAAAAGTGAAACTATCATTCTTTGTGACCAAACCAGACCACAAGCTGCTCTGTTTGTATCATTAGAAAACATATGTTGATCCCTGTGAGTCACTATTTGACTTTTTGGGCTGAAAACTCACTTAAAGAAGAAGGCTGAAGGAGGGTGGTCCTCTTTTTCATTTTTCTGTCGGGAAAAAGACATGTCTATAAAAACTAGTGAGGGAAAGTGAACTTTTTTAGGAGCAAAAAACTACACTGCAAAAAATATAAACTATCAGTCAAGTGGTTTTTATCTTAGTCTGAGCACATTTGAGCACAAAATTTTGCCAAATACCAGCAATTTTTGGCTTATTTTTCATCAGGTTTTGCAGTGTTGATAATGGATTTTGTTCCCTCCATTTTGTTGTGGTTGAAAATGTAGGAACCCCAGCTTTAATGTGCCATTACAGACTGTAGCTCTGATTGCAGATGTTCTTTGAGGATCATATCGACGACGCTAAGTACTGTGGTCACTTGTACGGCCTCGGCTCCGGCTCCGCCTACGTCCAGAACGGAACCGGGAACGCCTACGAAGAGGAAGCCAACAAGCAGCAATCGTGACCCCTCCCAACCTCTCCATCCTCCATCGCCACGGCAACAATCTCAACGCTGAGCCCAAGAAACGGGGCCGGGGGAAAAAAAATAAGGAAAAAAAAAACATCCATGTGTCGTTTAGCCTGTTTCCGTGAATTTAAGGTCAACGTTTGGTTAAAAAAAATGGTCAAAATCGTCAAAAATTGTCCACTTTTAGGAAGCCTCACTATGGAAGTCTAGTTTTATTCCTATACGCAGTTCTGATGGTCAGGTTGGTTGAGTTCAATTTGCTTGGGAGAAGGAAAACAAAATGGGGATTTTAGTTACCCTGAGACGTTCTGTAGGATTTTGCACTTTAAAAAAACAAACTCTCGCCTGATTTTATAAGGAAAGCTCCAATGTCTGTTTCTCTCGCCTTTTTTGTGCTGCCTCCTGAATCTTTGCCTTTTTTTTTTTTTACATTGTGTGGTGTCCTCATTGTCCTGTCCTACACCGCACCACTTCTGCCTCCGACTTCAGCCTTATGAAAGCTAATATCTTTTTTAAACAACGCTAATTTATTAACACACGCCGGAAAGCAAAATATGTCTGTTTTTCCTGTCCGTACATGTGGGGGGCGGGGGAAAAGTATCTTATGTAGCATGATGTAAAAATAATCGCTCTTCCAGTAAACAACGTGGACCGGCTTCAAAAAGTCGCTACGTTGATTTAGTTTTTTTTCCAGATCAAAAATGTGAATCTCCGCTCTTCATAATAAACGTGTGTCCACCATTGTTAAGTCGTTCCTGGTTTTGTCGCAGTCTCCAGGGTTGTGCTCCTCCTCCATCCTCCTCCAGTTCTCATCATTATTTGTTTGTTTGAAGAAAAAAAATGCCGTCAATGTCACCAACCCTTGCGTGAGTAATAAATGTGTGTCCAAAGAATTAACTTGAACTAAACAGACACATTAGCCAGACCGACTGAATGACAGCAGCCGCATGCCCTTTCACTTTGAGCCGCAACTTTGGTTCAGAGTGAATTTTTATTTATTTTGCATTGTTTTAGAGTTCTATAAGAAAAAACACGCTCTTTTATTGAATGGGAAATATACCGCTGTTGCTTTTAATACTTTATTACATTTTGGGTTTTGTGGAATATTTACTTTGTTACTCCATGCCGGGCTCTTGCGCCGCATGTTTGGAAATGTGTGATGGTAAAGGTTGTGTTTGAGATGTAAGCTGAGGTATTTGTTCATAAATTATAATAATATAAGCAGCTCACTCTTGTTTTCTTTTTTGTTTCTGCAGAAAAAAACACTGTAAACAGGAATATGCAATATACCAGAGTGTTGTTTTTAGGTTATTTTGTAAATAAAGGCTTCAAACTTTTCTACCATCATTTGTCTCATGTTGTGTATTGTTGGTGCCTTTTGGACACGGCATTGAACAAGAAATCAAAATGGAATGTTTTTACTATAAGGTCAAAGCTGGGGTATCTAACTTGGGAAATGCAGTGGCCTACAGGAGTTTGCATGTTCTCCCTGTGTCTGTAGGTTCCCTCCAGGTGCTCCGGTTTCCCCTACTACTAAAAACATGTACAATAGGTCTGGCCCCCTGTGGTGACCTCCCTCCCATCGCTGTGGAGTGAGGAAAATGCCTTAAAACAAAAATTGTGAAGCGCTTTGACTATAATTAAAGATTGCTTACTTTAGATGAAATAAGACAAACTTTATTAATCTCTCAATGGAGAATTTTACACCATTTACTTAGTTCACTATCTCATAAATGTTAATTATCCAACAGTCTTCTAAAACACAACATTGCGCCTTCATCTTAAACAAACTTTTGCATAATTGGAAAAGCCCTGTGAGTCACCATCTGACACTTTGGGCCTGGAGCTGATTGGCTGAGGGAGGGGGGTCCTCTCTAGCACTTCTCTGTCTGAAAAAGCTGAACTAAACATACCTGAAACTAGAACTTCCCAGGAACTAGTTGAATTGATTTTTGTTTTGTGTGTGTGTTAATATCCAGCAACAGTGACCCACACACACCTCAGTCAGAATTTATTAAATCCGATTAGAACGCCCCTCCCTCCCTTCCCTACTTTCTCTCAAATCTTATATGTATGAATTTCATGTAAATATTTATTTTCATTGTTTTTGGTATAATGCAATTTGTCACTTTTGTTCCTGATGCTTCCAATAAAGATTTTTTTTTAAAGGTACCTCAGCTTTAAAGGGGCAGTAAGCGATGTTGTTAGCTTAGCCGTAGCACCAACTGAAAACCACTCCCCCTCCCCTCCCTCTCCACCAAACCAAACATTCAGCATTTTCTTTTCTTTGTCACAACAGGGAGAGTGGAGCAAACGTGAAATTGGCTTTTTCTGTTCAGTCATTTTAGGTTTTAGAAAATCCCATAACTCCGGTGCACTCGCGGAAACAGGAAGTGGGTGAAGGGGGTAAACGCATCCCATTGGTTCATTTCTATCGGTCCGCTCCAAAACATTTGTTATTAATTTTTGTAGACTACACACCTGGTCAATTCCATTACTATCTTAAAACACATGATAACTTGACTATTTTTAGGGTTTAGGGACGTTTTCCCACAATATTATCAAAAATGTGTCTTGAAAAAATCACTGACTGCATCTTTAAATACAAATAAATGAAAACCCGACAGTGACATATGGTTTGAGGCTGAAGAGTAGCTTGTTTATTGTCATAAGGCATCAGCACTGTACATGTCCTCACTTTGTCCCAGACACAAAATAGAAAAATATAGATACGTATCACTGTCACTACAGGAGGTTTTCAGACGAGCTTACATTCAGAACTACATCCCAGATATGTACAAAGCATTCAAAGACACAGCTCTTTTTTCTGTTCTTTTTTTGCACTGACAGTAGAAAAAACAAAGCACAATTTATTCTGACGAGTGTTGAGTTCTGCAGCAGAGAGGTTGTAGTTTTGGCTGCTGTGCTGAGAGGTTTTTCAAAAGTAACATCTGTCCATTTCTTTTCATGATTGATTGCTTAACTTGAAGGTCATTTACTCTTCAAATTATCAAAAACAACCCGTCGTTATAGACCCGCCCCCACAGATTCCTGAAATGTGTAGGTAGGTAGGTACTGTATAGATTGATAGACTGTTTTCAATAAGCTTGTTCTGGAAAATACTTAATATGGATGATAAAACAAGGACAAAATGAAATACAATTGAAGTTGCAGACATCCCCTTTAAAGAAATATTTTAGAATCACTTCTTTTTTTACCATGTTATGACACTGCTCCCTCTTGAGAAACAGACCTGGAGCTGTTTTATATCCATTCACACAAACAGGTGGAACTTCTGGCACAAACATGTAACTTCTCTCTGTCTAAAAGCTCCGGCCTCAGCTCTGTTCTGCTATGATGTCATTGTACCTCTATGACATCATAAGATTAAAACGGTTTAGTTCGTGATTTCGTTTTTGCGCCATCTGTATGTGAAAGCCAGATCCTGTCCGACCTCTACAGCTAAGAAGGGCAGGGCTTGGTTAAAACTGTGATGGGAGACCTGCAGTGGCTGTTTAGTGCTAACCCACATTGCCTAGAATGAGTTTGGTGTGTGTTTGTGTGTGCGTGTGCGTGTGTGAATGGTTGTTGTTGGTGGTCAGAGGGACCGATGGCACATACTGGTCACTCACTTCTGTCTGTGTGCCCCAGGGCAGCTGTGGCTACAGTAGTAGTTTATCACCATTGTGTATGGAGTGAATGATTATTGACGTGTGAAGAGGCTTTGAGTGTCCAAAAAAGCGTTACTTAAAACTGATTATTACTCAGCATTACTTCCTACATTTTCAAACATGTTTCTACTATACTTGTCACAAACTGTTTCTGGACTGAGGTAAAGAACTATAAATATTTACCAGAGGTTTTGTCCCACCAATAATTGTCCCAAAATGGTTTGTAATTAACCAGCTATTTTGTGGGATCCCTGAAAAGTGAATGGGCAGTAAATTATACATTATAGCAACTGTTACGTAACCGCTGCTGGAAATGGAATTGAACTTCAAACGCTGGCAAAAAATGTGCTTGAAATACGATAATAAGAATATGATGAGGACAAAACCCTTTCTCACTCACATATAATAATCAAATAAACAGTATTGTGTTTGAGATGGGACTCTGCTTGATCCTTTGGCCGCTTCTAAAGTCTCGAAACATGCTCAAGTCAAGAGAGATTCTGTCAAAATATCACTTGTCCTTTTTATAACAGTTAAAGTAATTATAAACAGAGCCTTTAAGACAGAAATGCCAAACTCATTTTGGACGAGGCAAACGTAAAAACATAATAGCTGGTTGGGGCCAGAAGCGTAAAAGTGTTTTGACAAAATAATTTGACATTAGTTTGGATTTATTTTCTGTTTTTTAGAACAGATACAAATACATGAGACAATAGGCTTAAAGTAGTAGCCCTTTACCCTCAATGCTGCAAGTTACTGCGATAAAGACAATTGAAAATCATCTCAGGGGCCACCAAAAATTGTCTCGCGGGCCGTATTTGGTCCACGGGCCTGAGTTTGACATGCCTGCTTTAAGAGGTTCATACTTGATGCTTATGTGAAAACTAGTGATAGAAGCAAACGGTGTTGAGAGCTACAGCTATTTTTTCTGCCTGAATTTCAGATCAAAAGCCCCTCCCTGCTTTCTGACCGGATACCGAAGTGTAGATGCCATAATAAACATTGTGGCCTGCATGTACACATTCACATAAGAAAAACTAAAAGTACAGAACATTTGTTAACATAAAAGTTTGTGTGTGATTTTCCCGTTTACTTGACCACACAATATGTTTTGGGGATTTCAAAATGGAAGCCCTCATTTTTATGGATTTTAAAATGGTTTATACTATTTGTTTTTTCTTCACGGATACCTTTTTTTGTTACTTCTTTACCCTTTTTTTGTCAGCACAACACAAATCTATAAGATATAAGGTGGAAGGGATGGCGAGGGGGTTGATGACAGAAAAACCAAAAAAACACACAGACTGTCGTTGTCAATAATTACCATTCAACTGTCATTATCTGCGTTTAAGTTTGTGTAAATAAAAGAATAAAAAGCACTAAAAATTGAACTATTATGTTAATTTCTCAGCATAGCACCAGTGATCTGAGGTTGACAGAGTTTGGCAGCTATTGTAGTCTGATGTGTCGGCAGAGATTCACTCATTCATGCTTTTACAATTGAAAAGAGCCCTTAGTTACATGGAAATGATGTGTTTCCCAAGCAGAGGTTCGCTTCACTACGGCGGACATCTTGAGGCGAGGCATGCAACAGTCCTTTTCTCCGTTGGTACAAAAATGACTAAACGTTCTCACATCGACAGACACTTGATTCAGCGTTACTCTTAAGTTTGGCAACACTTTCTACTCTCTACAGTCTGGATACTGTACAACAGAAAAAGAAAAACATAGACTTCATCAGCAATATCTGTTCATCCGCTGTGTGCTTTTCAGACGTACAGTAATTCTTCTTTCAGTTTCTTCGGTGTAAAAATAATGGAAAGTTAGTAGTGATCGTGTCTTAGTTTAGAAATCTTCATGTTGATTGTAGAAGCGTCTCCAAAATAGCAACTTTTAACCCATTCTCCAAAGTGTAATGTTTTAGGCACACACTCGAAACATCTGTAGGGAACAAGAGGCATTCAATAGATCATCCTTAAAGCTGGGGAACTTTTTTCCTTTATATTAATACCTGAAAGAGTCTTGTAAAAGTAGAATATTGTGAACAAATCAGACCACCATCTTTTGCAATTGTGTAAAACAGAGCCCTGTGAAGCTTTGGGCCGAGAGCTGATCGGCTGTTTGTCAGAAAATCCTGATCTAAAGATGAGACAGGGCCCAAAAATGCCAAAAAACTGTTTCGAGAGAGTGAGAGTAATTGAATGGTGTGGTGTTTAAAACAGTGAAGCTATATCAAAAATAAATCCATGAGAATAAGTGCAATTAAAAACTATTACTGGAACAAAAACTAACAGTGACTATTTATCAGAAATAAGTCAAGAGTGTGCCCACATCTAGCACCAGAATAATGGACAATTTTACTAAAATAGAAATACAGAAATAATCATTAACTTTTGAAATATTCTAAAAATGGGCAAAAAGGCAAAACTGTGTTTAGGCTCCTACAGATGGATTTTACTACATAGTTAAATGTTTGTGTATATTTCTGGTGGATTTCTGTGAGCCGCTTGTTTTATGCCTTGAATCATATATTCTCGATGTAGAAAAAGTCAAAACCTTCCACAAAACATGAAACCTTTAATAAAGTGAAAAACAAATAGTGTGGTGTTTTTACCGTGCTGTGGTCACGCCTCATGTTCGATGGTCATTATTGGATTACTAGCTCCTGGAAAACACAAGGTTCAGGTTCAGTGTTGGAATACCATCACCTGTCCTTTAGGCGGCATTCAGAGGAAAAGTTACTGTGCACAAATACATTGTGTACGTAGTGTTTTGTGGGTGGAATGATTCAGTAGAAAGAAAATAAAACAAAATAAAATGAAACAATGACAGTGTTTAGTTATGTATTCATGTGTCATATTTTTCCCAACTTACATTTGCTGTGTTAAAAGAACTATGATGTTTTACCTGTTAATATAAATAATCTCCTCTCACAAGATTTTAGCAAATAGAAGAAAATTACAGTTTTGATCTGACCAAACATAGTTTATTATGAACTGCTGTCTGTTTGAACGGGTCGATATGGATGGATAGATTCCACGCAAACAGTATTATAAGGGGTCAAAAAGCTCTGTCTCTGCCTCAAGATTCTCTCATTTAAAGCTAATTCTCACTTGGAATGATAAAAGTGTGAAATAGATCTATACCTTCAGAACGCAGCCCTCGTCCTATCTAAACACTGGGTTTTTAACATCACACTGTCCAGAGTCCAGAGATGTGCTGAATGTGGAGCCATCAAACCTTTCTTGTCCTTGTCTGCTGCACCTTCACTGTCTGACCAGGAGAGGGTGGTGGTGAGCAGCCGGCTCTGGGACTCTCTCAGAGGTTTGGAGGGGAACTGTCGAGCCTCTGCTGCACTGAGAACACACAACACAGACTCATGAGGAAGCTGCAGAGAAGAGGGAGACGGTGGAAGGATCTGTTTGGGGAAAAAACTATGTCCTTACAGTTATGTCCTTCAAATGTACGAGAAGCAAAGTTTCTCTTCTCATATAAAACGTTTAAAGCAACATGAGATTTCAAGTGAATTTGAATTATGTTCATCATAATAATGAATTGTTAATGAATGATTTGTTAGAAAATTCTATGTAGTGGAATTTGATCATGTTGTTTGATAATGTTTGATGTACATTAAACTCAAAATAAATAACTTACTAAAATACTTAATTCATCCGGAAGAAAATTGTATATTCGTCCCTTTCTCACATTTGTATAAACACGATAAGATAAGTGAGGGACAAAATATCACCAGGCCTTAAATATACAATGTTGGAAAGCAACCATGTGGACAGAGAATACGTGGTAATCTCTGATGACACACATTGAGCAGAATTAGTGAGATAAATGCAAAACAATGTCCTATATTTATTCTCCAATAAGAGCAGAAAGTAAACAAGCATTTACATCAGAGGCTGTTTAAACTTTTTTATTATGCAAATGAATGCAAGAGTATTCCAAGCATTCAGATGGTCTATCAAGTGAATACGTTAAATTTTATAATTGGTAGGAATTATGGCAACCTCTCCACAGAGATTATAGGCCCATTATGTGTTCTATCCTGACTTTGAACAGTTTAAAAATCCTATCTGTGGAGACGTCAAACTCTAATAGTAAGAATTCATATTTTTGTTCAAATTTCAGGTCGAAACAGCAATTTCACATGACTTTTTTTGTTACACTCATTCAATATATCACTCCCAGCAAATGGAACATGAAATCCAAGTTGACTCACATCTTTGTGGCCGGGATGGGGCCAACGGGGGACGGTGGCTGCTCAGGGTCAAGATTCACCAGACATGTCGGGTACGAGCATCCATCTCCTAGACTGGAAACGCAAGATCAAACAATGACACTGATGATAAGATAATAATCCAGCAAAAGTAAACAATCAAACATGTATAATGTGTGTGGAGTAGATACAAAACTGAAAATCTAACCTAGTTTACACGTTTATATTTATTTCACTACACCAAACTTAAATAGGTCACAGAACTTCCACATCCTTCTCTCCTCTCTCTCCTTTCTCTCTTCTGTGCAGAGATCCTGACAGCTTTTCCCAGCAGAGGCCAAAGACGCTTTGACCTACTTGTCCATCTCCATCACAACAGAGGCCTTGTCAAAATCGCTTAAATCCACACTTTTCTTTCTTCCAACAAAGTTTAAGGACAAAATGTTCGCTTCCAGCCGACTACAACCCACCCACAAATGCAAAGAGCTGATCCAGGCTAATCACCTCCTCTGTCAGTCTTGTGCCATGGCAGCTTCATTTGGAGGCCTGTTCTGTCTGTTTAAATAAAGTTGGACCAAATGTAACGAATGCAAGGATGGTGTCCAACTTGTCAGACGACTGAAGCCTACGGGAGAGACCTGGGAGAGACCTGAGTGAGAGATCAGGGAGAGAGACCAGAGTGAGAGATAAGGGAGAGAGACCAGAGAGAGAGACCAGGGAGAGAGACCAGGGAGAGAGACCAGAGAGAGAGACCAGGGAGAGAGACCAGAGAGAGAGACCAGGGAGAGACCTGAGTGAGAGATCAGGGAGAGAGACCAGATAGAGACCATAGAGAGGTCAGTGAGAGAGACAAAACAGAAACCAGAGAGAGAGGCCAGAGAGAGACCACAGTGAGAGACCAGAGCGAGGCCAGAGAGAGACCAGAGCGAGGCCAGAGAGAGACCAGAGAAAGGCCAGAGAGAGACCAGAGCGAGGCCAGAGAGAGACCAGAGAGAGACCAAAGCCGGACAGCCCCAATGGCGACTAATAATACTGTGAATAGAAACAGGTCAAAATGAAAATTCAAGTAAAATTCTGATTTTCCAAAAAGCACTATAAATCACAAACATTACTATTTGTTTACTATATAAATACATGTAAAAGCAATGTATATCAATTTCTCGTGTGTGTGTGTGTGTGTGTGTGTGTGTGTGTGTGTGTGTGTGTGTGTGTGTGTGTGTGTGTGTGTGTGCACTTGTTTTCAACTCCTGGTGGGTTCCATAACCTGAGATTCCACTCACGTCATGGGGACTGGTTTTACGTGGTGGGGCCCGAACACCGGACCCCACTGGTCCAAGCTTAATAATCAATGGGTAATGCTTTTCTAACGGTCCTTATGCAGTCTCTGTAAAAATATGGAAAGGACCCCTGGAGGTTTACTTTCCTGAAAAAAGTGTGTTATGTGTCGGAACCCTGGTGGTGGGTTGCGGGATATCAAGGAGGGGCACACTGGGGCAATTTCAGTCCAGCAGGCTGGAGCCAATCATGGAGCAGCACAACAGAGGAAATCAGGTGTCAGGCTAGAAAAAGGTGCAAGTGTGTGGTTCATTAGGCTGCAAGAAATCATGGAGGAGCACACTGAAGCGCACGCTTACAAACCACTGGTAAGTGCTGACTACAAGTCATGACTTCAAATTGTTATATAGAATGATTACAAATTATTTGTTGTTTGTGCAGCTTAGTCAAGAGTCCCTAATTGATGAAGTCGACTCAGATTCTGACGATTTAACTGTCAAGAAGAAACCTGTAAAAAAGTATGGAAAAAGAAAAATCAAAAACACTTTTCTTCAAGACTCGGAAAGTGACGAACCAAAGGCAAATAAGATTGTTATCATGCAGCTGCAAAAGAAGAAAAATGGGGGGCGAGTATACAGCAAGAGACACTTCTGCCTCTACTGTTCAATGTCCTGCCACAAAATGTCCCGTCATTTGACTAGAAAACATGGAAATGAAAGTGACGTAGCCAGAGCATTGGCTCTACCTGTGAAATCTAAAGCACGTAAACTTCAGTTTGATTTGATCAGGAATAGTGGAAACCGTGAGCACAATTTTGAGGTTTTAAAGGCCGGCATTGGAACTTTAGTCCCAGCTAAACAGCCAAATTGCCCAGTTAAATCCAGTGAGTTTTTGCACTGTATAGACTGTGGGGCATTGCTTAAGCGAAAGTCGCTGTGGAGGCATGTGGCCAGGTGCCGGCTTTCACAGAAAGATGCCCAGGCTAAACCAGGTAGAAGTAGGGTCCAGTCCCTCTGCTCCCTAGCCCAGCCTGTACCGGAGGGCATCAGCAAAAAGCTGTGGTCTTTAATTTCGGCAATGCATCAGGATGAGGTCACGGGTGTTGTCAAAGCAGAAAAGGGGATTCTGAGACTCGGAGAGCACCTGTACTTAAAACACGGGCATGATAAGACAAAGCATGATTACATTAGGCAGAAAATGAGAGAAGTCGGTAGGTTAATTAACGAAGCAAAAACCGCAGGGAAACTGAAAACAATTAAGGATTTCTTTATTCCTTCCAACTTTAACCATGTGATTGATGCAGTCAGGTCTGTGGCTGGATATGATGAGGAAACAAATCAATACAAGACTCCATCCTTGGCCCTCAAACTCGGCCATAGCCTCAGAAAGCTAGCAGATATTCTTGAATGTGACTCAAAAATGGAGCATTGTGTTGATGAACTATTTATTAAAAACCTCCAACGAAGCCGGCTGCTTTTTGAGAAGAGGTGGGACGTCTGTGTTTCTTCTGCTGCCCTACAGACCCTCCGGCAAGCCAAGTGGAACACTCCGGACCTGCTCCCTCTGACTGAGGACGTTAGAGCCATGCATGCACATATTGAGGTATGTCGACCTGAATATGTGCAAACCCTAATAAGTGAGCCAACGTCTAAGCATTGGTCTAAACTGGCAGTTTTGACTCTTTGTGAGGTCATCATTTTCAATCGAAGAAGGGAAGGTGAGGTTTCAAAGATGCCACTGACAGCCTTTACCTTAAGAAGTAAGACTGGGATCCATTCTGACATTGCTCTGGGACTGTCCCAACTTGAGAAAAAGCTGTGTCAGCATTTTCAACGCATTGAAATTAAAGGGAAAAGAAGTCGGAAAGTGCCGGTTCTTTTGACTCCTGAAATGATTGCTTCGATGGAGGTGCTGGTGGAGAACAGAAGGGCCTGTTCCATCTCTGACCATAACCCATACTTCTTTTCCCGCCCGGGCGCAGACACCCACATCAGGGGATCAGACTCCCTACGCCAGGTAGCCAAAGAATGTGGTGCGGTGCATCCAGAGATGCTATCCTCAACCAAACTTAGAAAGCACATAGCTACTATGTCTACAGTTCTCAATATGAAAGAGAATGAGATGGACATACTTGCCAACTTCCTCGGCCATGACATTCGCATCCACAGGCAATATTACAGACTACCAGAGGGGACACTGGAGCTGGCCAAAATCAGCAAAGTGTTGATGGCCATGGAGCAGGGAAGAGTGACGGAATTCGAAGGAAAGAGCCTCGACCAGATACAAATTGAGCCTGAAGGTAATTCTTGATATTATTAAAATATGTATGATTTTTTTCCCCTAAAGGCCACTTGTATTTTTATTTTCTGTGCGACAGGGAGAGCAGTAGAGATCCTCTCACAAACGGACGGGCTAAAAGAAACTTCAAGCGGAGAACCTTCAACCATTCATCCAGATGCACCCCATGGTAGTGGCAGTGCCCCTTCTGGTAAGTGTACCAGGTGGGGGATTACAGCCAGGCTGCTTGGTCCTCACCCTGGGAGTGTATATTGCTAATATATTTTTATTTCTCTCCCTAGAACGTGTAAGAAAGCCATGGTCTGCATCTGAGGTGAAGGCTGTGGAGAAGACCATGACACCTTTCATACAGACTGGAAAGGTCCCTGGGAAGTCTCACTGCCTGGCCTGCATTAATGCCTCACCAGATGACCTTAGACATCGGACATGGAGTGGCATTAAATTCTATGTCAAAAATAGAATCACTGCAATTCGAAAACAAAATCTAAAATAAAATTCCTTTAAAATAGTTGTTTGGTTTCTATTGACTGTTTTGTATTACTTAAAGTCTTGGTAAAAAAAGATTATGTCTATGGGTCCCATTCTGAACGGCCCTGTCAAAGGGACCCACCAGGTAACAAAAACGTGTATGTGTGTGTGTGTGTGTGTGTGTGTGTGTGTGTGTGTGTGTGTGTGTGTGTGTGTGTGTGTGTCACTCTCTTGCAAAAATGTGGTGTAACATTTTGGCAACTACGTCTTCATCAGGCGAAGGAGGACAGAGGCCTCGGGAGCAGCTGGTCGCTCATGTGTCACACTGACAACAAGTGTATCATAAGAAGGTCATGTGTGACGCATCGTTCAAGAATACTAACAATACAAACAATTCATGAAAGTCTATCCCAGGATGGAAGAGAACTGCAGACAGACATGGACCATCCCCGCAGTCTTTAGCCAACAGACTGTGTTATTTATGACCACTTTAGTAGACATCAAACTGTGTAAATACCAATGATTAGTCTTCACAAAACTGCATGATATAATTTACTTAAGTAGTTTCATGTAAAGCAAGATGAGGAAAGGTATAAATAATCACAGAACATTGACCCTTTAATCTCCACACCTTGAAAAAGCAATGTAATTTTTACTTTTTTGGATTTTCTTAGATAAAGGACAGATTATTGGCCACATGACAAAGTGAGACGTTCCAAAAAGGAAGATTTCAGTTCCAAGCTTCAAGTAAATTAGAAGTGGGTTAGGGTTAGGGTTAGGGTTGGGTCAAAAATAACTGAAGAGACAAACCTTCAGTTATGGGCACAGCTAAACAGAGATGTTTTAACACTGGATTTAAACACTGTCAGATTAAAAGCCTGTTTAAAATGTTTAGGAAGACAGTTCAAGATTTGAGTGGTATAATTCTGAAATGCTGCCTCCCCAGGTTTAGTTCTGACTCTGGGCACCAGCAGGAGGTCAGTCCCTGTTCTCCTCAGAGTCCGAGTGGTTTCATTTGGCACTAACATGTCACAGATGTACTTTAGAGCTGATTTAAAGTCTATTCTCTGAACCACATGAAGCCAGTGCAGAGACCTGAGAACTGGATGAGTCACTAATATTGTTCACAAATCAACAGATAAAGGCAAAGGTCAAAGAAATATTCACACACCTCCTTCTTTAAAGCAGATTTATCACAATTGGTCTTTACTGCATTGACTCCACACCCACTCCAGTCGCAGCTCAGACGGAAAATGAAAGGTCAACGGCGCTCAAATAAGCAATCTGCGTCCTTGTTATACGCCAAGGTTATAAATAATGTGATCGCCGCCTCCCTGTGTCTTCAAGCTTGAACATGTGGATCTCACCTGGAGAAGACGGGGACCGGCCAGTACTTCACTTCGTCTCCAAAAACCTGCCGGAAGTTTTTGCTGCAGCCGAGACTGAAGCCGCTCTTGTCCGTGCCGTGGCGGAACACTGGCGCTCGGACGGCCTCTGAGTGAAAGAAGCAAATGTTTTCAATTATTTTTTATAGAGTCTACCATCAGCTGACAAAAATACACAATTTAATTTAGCTGGGGTTTCTATTATTTTATTTTTTTCATAATTACATAAAGAGATTGGGCTAGCGTCATCAGGAGCCGCTTTTTGTTCCACTTTGGTCTTGCCTAGGTCGCAAGGCGGGTTAAAGGCACGTCTGTTTTGCCACTCCAGCCTGTGTCGCTCAATGTGTAAGGAAAGCGCCCCCTGAAGTCTTGTGTTTTTGTGCAGTGGAAATGAGGCTACAGTGAGACAGATACAGATGTTAAAGGTCCCATATTTTGGCTTTTCTCAGCTTTAAACATCATTACAGTGGTGTGTTTGGCCTTCATACACATACCCAGAGTCGTTTTTTTCATTGATTCCCTCAAGCTTTTGTTATAGAGATGTAGGACCTTTAATCATTGTATGTAATCCAGAGAGATGTGGTGTTGTGGACCGTGACACACACTCACCCAGAGTGGAGCGGTTCTTGCACACGAGCCAGCAGTGGTAGATGAAGAGCGAGGCCAGACTGACGGAGAACATGGACGCAGAGAAGAAGAGGAACAGGATGTGGAACTTGGCCTGAGTGTCCGGGAGCCCGTTCTGACCACAAAACAGCACTTTCAATCAATTCACAACAAAAGATCAAAACATACAGAAAATGAAGACTGTTACTATGGCAATTACTTATATTTAATCTGTGATCAATAAGAATCTCTGTATCTACTTTTTGTATTGTAATTTATGTACAAAACTTTGGATGGCCCTGTTGTTGTGTTAGTGCTTTATGGGGAAAAAAAATTATATACTGTATTTTTAGTGGAGGTTCTCAAATAGTGCATAAAACTGGAACCATAATCCATAGAATTATTTGATTATTTATTACTTTTTTACATAACACTGCTTAAACAGAACAGATAACAGAAAAATATATGGATTTTTTTTTTCATTTAAAGCTGCTGTACGCAACGTTAAAACCACAAAAATGTAACTAATAAAATCCATCAAACTAGTTCCTCTTGAATCTCTCAAAACAGATTGATTCTACCTTTATTTTTGACCTCTGTCACATCTTTTCCAGACAGAAAGAGACAAAGAGAGGACCACCCTCACTCAGCCAATCAGCTCTCATGTATGCAAAGAATAACACATTTTCCAATCAGATAAGAAGGTCTGTTTTGTTCACAGATAGTTACTTTCACAAGACTCTTTCCATTGGGACAAAGAAAATGTATTATTGGTGAAGCAAAAAAGTTAGGTACCCCAGCAAAAAATGCATAATGGAGTCAACAGACAGATATAAGGCACTACTACTACTACAACTGCTGTTATTTGACTACTTCTACTTCTACTTCTAGTACTTTACCCCAGGTTTGCCCTCTATCCCTCGCACTACTCAACACTAACTACATTTTCATACCAAGTACTCTCTGAGGCGGAAATGGGCTCTACCTCCGGCCTTTTCAGGGACAAATCAAATCACAATCAGTATTCAATATTCAGTATCTTTGTATAAGGTCTATAGTGAACACTGACCAGCCAGAACTTGATGAAGTACTTGAGGTCTGTAGCAGTGATGAAGAGGCAGTAGAGCAACGAGTACAGCAGAAATAACATGAAGTATTTGTAATTGGAGAAACCCACACAGTTGTTCACCCTGGAATAAAGTGAAAATAAATTAATAATGTATAAAAGCAAGGAAACGTCAAAAATAAACACAATTTGAGAGAATTTCTTTGGTATTTCATGTTTTAGAATCAGAAAGAAATTATGTTGAAATTGCAGATGCTTTGCAAAAGTACTAATACTACTTGAACTAGGCATAGAAAAACTCTCAGTCTCTAGATGTGCAAAGCTTGAAGAGTCAAAAAGCAATAGACTTGTTGCTGTGATGCTGGGAAAAGAGGTTCGACAAAGTATTATCAATGTTGAAAAGAAAAATCTGCGACAAATTATTTTGCTTTCACTTCACAGTTGTCTGTTACTTTGTGGTGGTCTTTCAAAAAAAAAAATGTAAATAAACATATTTTTGTTTGTTGTCGTAAACATGGCAAAATTTGCAAACGTTCAGGCTACAGAGTATAGATAATAAATATAGACACATATTGAAAACATAGAAAAAGGAAATAATTGATGGATGGCCAACCACTCCCATCTAGTGGTAAAAGTGTGTAATTACATCCTGCTTGGATAAAAACATACAGTAAATAACATCCCCACTATCTAATTGATGACTAGTTGTAAAAAATCATAATTTGACAGATAGGTTGGGGACAGAAGCAGCTGATATTGCTGTGAAAGGAGCTAAAAACGACTCCAGGTCTCAAACAGTACTCCGTTAAGACGCCTTCCCACACTGGTCCATTCTGTTTCTCAGTCTGTCGAGGGAAAAAAGTCAAATCTGCTCCAGAATGTGTGTTTGTTTTGGTTGTATTTGGTTTGACGACGGCTCAAGCTGCTGAAGAGGCAGGAATCTCAACACAAACTGACGGAAATAATTATAATGCTGGGTTTGGGTATTACAGATATTATAGATATTCTGCGGCAGTGACCCGTCCTTCTCCACCCAGCGGCTGTGCTCCACCCAGCGGCTGTGCTCCACCCAGCGGCTGTGCTCCACGCAGCAGCTGTGCTCCACCCAGCGGCTGTGCTCCCCTCCCCTTTCCCTGTCTTTCGTTTTTCTGATTCCTGTTCCTGTTTGGATATCTTGGTTTGTTTGTTCTTGGACTTAGTGGCAGAAAGAACATATTTTTGACACAATAAAAAAAAATCCTGTTTGGAGTGCAACATTATGAACGTATGGATTCGGTCTTTACCATCGACTGCTCTAGCTCAATGAAGCGCATTAGAGAAGTGCTCATGGACAGAGTTTTGCTCCAGTTTGCTCCGGCTCCTTTAGATTTCCATTGAAAAGTGAACCTCTCGCTCAACTTTTTGGGGCTTAAGAGAATTGTGGTTTAGCCAATCAGATCCCTTCATTCACAGGGGAAACTCTGTGAATGAAACTCTGCCTTAGCATCCATGTTAGCGACCCATTAGTTTGGATCTGCTCCTGTGACAGCACAAAGCTAACCCTGTCGGAGCAAATGCCCATATAAGGAAATTGGCTCCAGCTTTCTTATGTTTGGGCAGTGGATCAAATTGAACACAAAGATTTTTTTTCAAAGACTATTCTAATCACAAAACGCAAATAATTATATATATGTGTAAAAACAAAAGTCTACGTTTTTTTTTCTTTTCTCAAACAAAAATTCAAAACAACACTTTCGGTGATTCTTTCTTCCTGGTTGGACATGAGCAGATCTGACATATGTCGTCACCTAGCAACCACATGCTAAACATAGGCCAACGCTTGTCTCATGTATGAATTATAACGAGTGGAAATGGGACAAAACACCTTTATGTTGATGAAGGAATGTGCCTCGGCTCCAAATGTTTTATTTTGCATAAATTGCTGCTGCTTTTTTAACAGAATTGTGTGTCTTTTAGTCACATTCTGTTTTGACCCACTTTAAAGTGCTGCAGTCAATGCTACAGTCAATGAGCACTATAATCACTGGTCATCTCTATGGATATGGTGTATAGTTACTTGCATATCCAAAACATGTCAGATACTGTCAGACCACTGAAGCTAAGCAGGGCAGGGTCTGGTTAGTGATGTGAAGGGAGAAACCAAGTGGTACAATGGGGCGGCTGTGGCTGTAGAGTGCCCAGACTTAAACCACATTAGAATGAGTCTGGTCTGTGCGTGAATTATTGGTGGTGATTTAACGGCACATACCGGTTGCTTCGCTTCTGTCTGTGTAGTAGTTCACCACCACATGTGTATGGAGTGAATGATTGAAGACATGTGAAGCATCTTTGAGTGTCTATTACTATGATATATATTTTTTTATTATTATAACGTAGTATTTTATATATGCATAGCCCCATTCCCCAAAAAAGGGGCTTGGAAAAAAATATGGCATAAGACACGCCCCATGAGCCCTATAATTCTATAAACAATAGTTCAGTTTGATTTCTTTCTTTATCTTTATTTATATACCGCCTTTTCACTGCACATTGGAGTCTCAAAGCGGTTTACAATAGTTATTTTTTGGGAGTGGGGGTGCCAGTACAGGAGGCACATGCCAGACCTATTGTACATATTTTTAGTGGTAGGGGAAACCGGAGCACCCGGAGGAAACCTACGCAGACACGGGGAGAACATGCAAACTCCACTCAGAAAGGCCCTGGTCCAACTGGGATTTGAACCCAGGACCTTCTTGCTGAGAGGCGAGAGTGCTATCCACTCAGCCACCGTGCCGCCTATTTCTTGGATCACAATTTCTGCCTGGGTATGTAAACTTTCCTGCGTATGTAAACTATCAAGCACAAATGTAAATCCAGTCCAGGGAAATATTCAAGAAATCCCCAGACAGCTGATTTTGTGAACATGGTTTTTGCACTTATATTATTGTCGATGTGGTGTGTAATAAACAGGTGAGTGCGGTAACTGACCAGGGGCAGTGGTGATCCATCTTCAAAATACATCTGAAACAAGTGCACTGAAGTTACAATATATTTCAGCGTATTTCTGTAGGATTTACTGCATGTGTCGTACTTATCACAGACTGAACAGTGATGGCATCGATCTGGCTTCAGCAGCTGGCACCGGTCACAGAAGCGAATCGCTGATGAGAGAGAGAGAGGATGAAGAGGACGAGGGGAGAGAGAGTGAGGAGAGGGAAGAGCAGGTCTGACCTCCGGAGTTGGTGCGTGTGTAGATGGGCAGATCTTTGGCGATCCGGCGGAGGATCTCCTGCTGGGACTCCCCTCGGTCCTCACGCTCCAGCAGCTCCTTGTCCGAGTACGACAGCTGGAACTGAGGCAAACCAAAAACAACAGACAGATAGTGGTGGGAATACACAATGAATTAATTTGAATTTATATTATTCATTAGATTTTGTATTTAATAGTAATTCAATTAAATCTATCTATAGTAATTTAATTTAATTACTATAGATTTAATCTATTAAATCTATAGTAATTAATTTGAATTCTATATAATTAATCCTATTTTATTTATTTTATTTTATTTTATTCTATTTTTTTATTGTCATTATTATTATTCATTTTATTCATTTTATTCATTTTATTTATTTTATTCATTTATTTAAACTTTTTCTGTGAGCGTGTGTTGTGCCGTTTTATAATCAATAAATAAAATTACACAAAAATTGAAAAATAGATAATAATCTCTACATATTTTTGGCTTATCTTGATAACTAAATTCAGTTGATAGTCTTTGCTAAAACATGCTTGTAAAATATTGCGGCAAAGAGTCAAAGCTGAGGTACCTAACGGTTATAATCAATAAATAATACAGAAAGAGTCTTGCAAAAGTTAAAGTATTATTAACATTACTTTCAGATTGTTACTTTATTGTTGAGCTACTGTCCCTTGTGGATCAAAAAAGTCTAAGCCTAAGAACAAATCAGAAAACACATAATCATCATTTTTTGCATACATGTTAGAAATAGCCTTGTGAGTCACTATTAGGGCTGAATTTGGCTGAATGACTGAAAGATTGGACAGACGGCAAGAAAAAAGGCATTTGATAACTAGAAGTAACCAGTTTGGAGACTGGGTAACTATCATGGATTAGATGTGGTTTGAAAATTAGGTACCTTAGCTTTAAGTAACACACAAACAATGAAATAAGTACGTTGGGGTTAGGGTATAAGAACCAAATAACTTAATCCTGAGTAATATGAACGTGGATGGGTGGGACTTTGCAGCTCCGTTGATTTTAAATCTTCAAATTGTCATAATTACGAGTCAATTACAGTATTCGCCCCCCTTGAACCTTTCAACATTTCGCCACATTTCAGGCTTCAAACATAAAGATATAACAAAATTATTTTTTGTCATGAATCAACAACAAGTGGGACACAATCTTGAAGTGGAACGAAATGTATTGGATAATTTAAACTTTTTTAACAAATAAAAAACTGAAAAGTGGGGCGTGCAATATTATTCAGCCCCTTTAATTTCAGTGCAGCAAACTCAGTTCAGTGAGGATATTTGAATGATCCAATGTTGTCCTAAATGACTGATGATGATAAATAGAATGCACCTGTGTGTAATCAAGTCTCCGTATAAATGCACCTGCTCTTTGATAGTCTCAGGGTTCTGTTTAAAGCGCAGAGAGAACCATGAAGACAAAGGAACACACCAGGCAGGTCCGAGATACTGTTGTGGAGAAGTTTAAAGCCGGATTTGGATACAAAAAGATTTCCCAAGCTTTAAACATCTCAAGGAGCACTGTGCAAGCAATTATATTGAAATGGAAGGAGTATCAGACCACTGCAAATCTACCAAGACCCGGCCGTCCCTCCAAACTTTCATCTCAAACAAGGAGAAGACTGTGATCATGGGCAGCCAAGAGGCCCATGATCGCTCTGGATGAACTGCAGATAACTACAGCTGAGGTGGGAGAGTCTGTCCATAGGACAACAATCAGTCGTGCACTGCACAAATCTGACCTTTGTGGAAGAGTGGCAAGAAGAAAGCCATTTCAATTTGGAGAGACGAGAAAGCAGGAAGTTTTGAGTATTTTATTGAAAGGAGGTTTGGCGCCCTAGGTCCCGGTGCGGCCTTCAGATCGGAAAGGCTCCTGCGATGGAGCGCGCACAATCCCCCGGGACCTAGGCACTGGTGGCGGCATTTGGCAGCGGGAAGCAGATTGAAGGCAGATTGGAGGCAGGGTGAAGAGGAGGAGGAGGGGAGGCGGTGGTTGCAAGGCTTCGGAGGCCGAGAGTGGGAGTTCCTCCGTTTTTATGCGGCTGGCGTAGTCGGTACGGTGATTGGAAGGGGGCGTCTGTTGAGCGATAGGCTGGGGATGCGAGCCGGCCTGGAGGGGTAATTTTGGTTAACGTCTACCAAATTGAATTTTCGCGGGCTGCATTTCTCAAAGATATCCATAAAAAGTCTCGTTTAAAGTTTGCCACAAGCCACCTGGGAGACACACCAAACATGTGGAAGAAGGTGCTCTGGTCAGATGAAACCAAAATTGAACTTTTTGGCCACAATGCAAAACGATATGTTTGGCGTAAAAGCAACACAGCTCATCACCCTGACCACACCATCTCCACTGTCAAACATGGTGGAGGCAGCATCATGGTTTGGGCCTGCTTTTCTTCAGCAGGGACAGGGAAGATGGCAAAAATTGATGGGAAGATGGATGGAGCCAAATACAGGACCATTCTGGAAGAAAACCTGTTGGAGTTTGCAAAAGACCTGAGACTGGGACGGAGATTTATCTTCCAACAGGACAATGATCCAAAACATAAAGCCAAATCTACAATGGAATGGTTCACAAATAGACGTATCCAGGTGTTAGAATGGCCAAGTCAAAGTCCAGACCTGAATCCAATCGAGAATCTGTGGAAAGAGCTGAAGACTGCTGTTCACAAACTCTCTCCATCCAACCTCACTGAGCTCGAGCTGTTTTGCAAGGAAGAATAGGCAAGAATTCCAGTCTCTCGATGAGCAAAACTAATAGAGACATACCCCAAGCGACTTGCAGCTGTAATTGCAGCAAAAGGTGGTGCTACAAAGTATTAGCGCAAGGGGGCCAAATAATATTGCATGCCCCACTTTTCAGTGTTTTATTTGTTAAAAAAGTTTAAATTATCCAATAAATTTCATTCCACTTCACGATTGTGTCCCACTTTTATTTTATATCTTTATGTTTGAAGCCTGAAATGTGGCAAAATGTTGAAAGGTTCAAGGGGGCCGAATACTTTCGCAAGGCACTGTAAAACATACTGGGGTTGAGATCCTTGAACTTTTGGTCTTCATGTGCATACTGACAAAAAATAACAACTTCCATCATCACAAAGTGGTCTTAAAGAGTGAGTTCTGTGGCACTTTCTCATGCCTCTTCAGAATCCTGCAGATCCACTTCAGCAGAGTCTGGGCGTTTGATCGAGCTGTGCTTTCAGACAGTAATGCTTCACAATGGAAGTGGCTCCGGTCGTAATCTATAATGTATTTGATCCTGACCACGGCACTTTCGCTCCGGAGGCCAAAACACATTCATTCAGCCCGGTACAAGCGCCTATACCACATGCATTTCCTCTGATAATCGAGGTCTATTTCACTTAGAGGCTGTTGCAAAGTCATAATGGAGTTGGATAAAACATGACACATTTCGTTTCATTCCTGATTTTAATGTATACTAAAGAGTCTATAAACTTAAGCTTCGGCCTATTCTTTATTCAGACCTTATTTTGACTTTTTTTCCCCCACGTGCCTGAAAATGTGACAAGATGAAAATGATTAAGAAGTTATACATTGTATAATATAACAAAATAATACCTACAATAATACTAAATAGCAGTAAAATCTTAAATCAGTGAGTGCGGGAGACGGGTGTTGTAGATGTGGGTGACGTCAAGAGTTTGCATTGAACGGGAAGGGGCAATGGCAATGGCAATGGCTAAGAATGCGATAGTAAAGTAATCCGATCCGGTTCTGTCAAGAAAATGAAATGAAGAATGTTTAGCAAATGTAATCGCTGGCAAATATTGTGGTGCTACTCCCCACGGGCTCCGTTAGCGGCAAAGGAGATGGCTAGGCTAAATGCTAAATGCTAATGACTCACTCGGGCGCATTACATACGTGTCGGTAAACTCAGATCCAATCGTTTCTATCTGCAAATGGAGTTAACCCCTCCCACCTGTTAACAGTCAATGGAGCACCTCCAGACCTTAGTACGAAATGAAATTCGTACTATGGTGTGGTACGACCAGGCTATGTCCATTGGTCAGTCTGAGGATTTTTTTCTCACTGGGACTTTTTGAACTGTTCTTTGCAGATGCAGAGGGGTCTAACGTTTATGAACATTGATCATCCGCCTCTTATGGACCAATGGCTCCTGTGTCTGTGTTTGATTCTCTGATCTGTTGTTGGTGAATTGCCAACTTAGTAAAAGTCCTCCAAGAGGACTGTTTATACAAAAATAAATAGAATTGAATTGAATATTTGCGACTCAAGGTGACTTTACAATAAAATCACATAAAATCCATTAAAACATTCATGCAATCACACAATAAAACAGTTTAAAAAGGAAAAAAAGCAATTAACAAAGCATTAAAATCCGGGTAACGCGCTAATGAGTGTTATTATTATTATTGTTATTATTTTCAATGAATAGATGTTGTGTAGTGTTAAAATGAACGATGTATCCAAAATCTAAACACGGACAAATTCTTAGCTATGGTGGTGAAATGGGAGGTGAAGTGGTTTCTAAGGTGTTAAATGATGCCAAAATAGAAATATATATAATATCACATGCATTTTTTGTGGCAAGAAAATGTCTTCAAGTTGTGAGACTGAGACTGGATTTGTAAATGCACGATACCCACCTCTTTGAGTGGATTGAGGGGCTGGGTGAAGATGGTCTGCCAGTACGCCCAGACAAACATAATGAAGACCACATGGTACACCAGCAGATACACAACTGAGGAGGAAGAACCACAATTCTGTAAGCATCACATTGTATTCATCTAATCCTCTAAATCCTCCTCTAAAGGATATTCCCCTGCTGGACATTTGTGATCATGTGAAAGTATGACTTAACCAGCAGCTAATAAAAGGAATCTATTCATCCGTCTGTTTTCTTCTGCTTTATCCAGGCCTGCGATGTGGAGGCAGCAGTCTGAATGCAGATATAGACTATAAATACACACACACACACAGTTCCAGCTCATCACTCATGACCTCAAACTGCGAGATACTGATGACTTCTGCAGCTTCATGGAGAGAGTAAGGCACCTTCCTCTGGCCGAGAAAAACACAGCCTGGAGTTTTTAAAGGTGCAGGTTTTTGTCCGAGCTGCTTCAGACTCAGCAAACTGTCCTGGTGCATGTGTGAGGTCATAGGGCAGGACATCATCCAAAAAGAGTAGATACTATTAGGGATTTTATGAGATTTTAACCCCCCCTTCATGTTTGTTTATATTTTATGTATGGTTGTTGCTTGTTATATAGTCTTTTAATCTGTAGCACCTTGAGGTTTCCTGGAAATGTAAGGTGCAATATCAATAAAAATGCATTATTATTATTACTATAAGTAAACTTGAGCCTGTGCTGTGCTGAGTTGCCAGGTTCCACGGTTCAGGCTCTAAACTGCTAGACTTTTGTTATGTCCTGAGGCAAGAGACTTTAGGCTGTTACCTCCGTTTGACTGAGGCAGAGCTGATCCGGGATTCATTACAGAAATAAAATCAATACATGTGATACATCAGTTGGTAATCACATTGATAGAAACATATATACAAAAGTTGGACTTGACTTTGTTCTAGTCATTTTAAGTTTGTGACCATCATGTGAGGAGGAAAGTAGAGATGAACTGTAAGCGCTTTGGGCATCATGAGAGGACACAGCGGGTTAGCTCTGAGCAGCCTCAGCCCCCACTGTGGAAGCAGCAGCGGTCTCCCATCCAATCACTACCCAGGACCCACACTGCTGCGTTTCCCTTCAGTATATACTCAACAAATCCTAAAACCTCATAAATACTATATAGAAGTTGCTGCTGAAGGCTCACTTTTGTAGTTGTTTATATTAAAACACCTATTTCAGAATGAGAAGAGAAATTGTAATGAGGAAATACTGAAAATCCCAAAATATCCCGTGAACTACACTTTGATTTCTACACAATACGGTTTGAAGGAGACAAACTTTGATCACCTCCAAACGTCTCCGATGTGGGTCAAGGCAGGATTAAATCAAAGTGTTTTGGGGGAAAGCAGTTTGTGAGGAGGAGAAACTGGGTCTCCGCAGTGTGCTTCATAATTATAGTGTTTTTGAAGTTTTCGGCGTCGCGCTCAGGCTGGGATCAAACACAAACTCTCTGCCCCAGATTAAAACATTCTGATTTATGTATTAACCGTATAAAATTCACTTACCCTTTTCACCAGTGTCGTCGATGGACTCTGCGAAACAGAAAGACTGTTAGAGTAATTGATTAAATATACATATAATTCAGTTAGATCTTCCAAAAGGTCATTGATTTGTTGTAGATATCAGTATAATGTATCACACAAATGAGACGTTGTGTTTCTCATCTCATTTTCTTCTAAAAGTTGAACAGATTTAATTAAAGGACAGAATGTGAGCTTATAATTTGTTCACAGACTCAAAAGTAATAATTGATAATAAATAGAATAGACATGATAGCCATTATATTTATGTTTCAAGCCTATTATTCAATCATAAAGCAGAATTGGTCTCACATGATAGTCCTGTTTGGGTTGCCAGTTCCTTTGATAAAAATCATGTGGTCTATACCTAAACCTGAGCCGCTGGAGAGACGTGTGTGTGCGTGTGTGTGTGTGTGTGTGTGTGTGTGTGTGTGTGTGTGTGTGTGTGTGTGCGTGTGTGTGTGTGTGTGTGTGTGTGTGTGTGTGTCTGTGTATGTGTGTGTGTGTGTGTGTGTGTGTGTGTGTTTAACATGCAGAGAAGGCCACAATGCTGTGTGTTGTAAATGTAAAGTCAAGATGATGTCAGATATTTCAATTATTTCATTTTACGTATGAAATTGTTGACCTTGTCGTCTAAAGGCACATTTGAACAACTTGGCTTTTTACACCAAGTTTCACTGTTTTACATTTTATATGTATTTTTGTGTATTCAATTCTATTCTCTATGTTTTTTTTTGTGTGCATTTGTATGCCTATGGGCCGCTGATGTTGTAAACACACTGTACAAAGTTGACATTGACATACTAACACGTGACCTAAGTATTGTTCAAAACAGTCCATGTTGCATCCTCCACAGAGGGGCAATGACCAATCACAAGGATTTGAATTCATTTTGCCCAATCGGGAAGCTTTATCATTCTGAACGTTCTATACAGTTCATTTAATGTGTGTTTCTCATGATCCATATTGTGATCACATCCGACAAATATTAGGTTTTAGTTGTTAATTGCTAAAAGCTAATGATTCTAACAGATCATTAAACAATTATACAAATCCACTCTCTCCTCCATCACTCAGAGTTAGCCTTTTTCTCAGCAGCTTTCCATTCTTCTCCTGTGTATCAAGGTCCACATCTCCCATCAAAGCACTTCTTACCTGACTTTATAACACGATTAACAACTAATATAAACCGCAGCTCTGTGCAGTTACGGACACGCAGTTTCCGTAGCTTGACACATTTCATATTGATACGATATCCTGTAGTGTTATGTGTAATCAGTGATTAGCTAAGCACACAACTTCATCTGTTCTCAGTAAATTAGCCTGAGAGGGAGAAGAAGAGGGCAAAGAGAGAGACAGCACTGAAGCAAAAGCACAAAGTGACGACCGAGGATATGAGAGGGAGAGAGGGGTGATCCGAGGATTGGAGTCCAGGATCGGAGCCAAAAACCCAGTTCCAGCAGCGCAGCACAATGCCCCAGAGCCCGACATGAGGCGTGAGAGAGGAGACGAAACAAGGGCAAATCAGCCGAGCTTATGAAGTTATTATGGTGTAAGCTGGACACGAACAGGACACAGGGAGCACCAAATAAAAACACTAATGAGATATTAAAAAGCGCTCAGCCTTAGGTGCTCAGAATACAGTATCTACAAGAAAGCAGACTGCGAAAGAAACAAAAGTGGATGAGAGGCTTGTAAGAATCAGGTTCTCCTTTCAGTGTGGGATAGGACCTTGTGGCTTTGGCTCACAATTCAAAACCTTAGATGGAACAAAACATTTTCCGGAAAAGTCTTGAACTAGAAATACAAGGGTCCCTAAAGTCCTGTCCGTCCGTGGGAGGTTTTGACCTCAGGGATTTGGTTCCAGGACATTCATAAACATTTACAGATCTTGGTCGTCCCGCTCCCTATGGACCAATGTGTTTATTATTATTGCATTTCCTCTGTTTGAACTGTTTGATTCTCTGATCTGTTGTTGGCAAATCAAAAACTATGTAGATACCCCAGATTTAACGTCAGAGAATAAATCAACATCTTTTTTACACAGTGTACAAAAGACATTAAATGTAAGTTTCTGGTTTTGACTGTGCATTCGGCCCATACATTTTCTTCCCCTTGATAAATTTCTGGGTCGGGGGGAGGTGGCAATCAGCTACCACCCAATCCACAGAGCACCTCCTCCTGCATCCTCCTGCAGGTGGTGAGTCCACAGGAGGAGGGCTCTTTCAGTGTGAGCAAAACCTTGGGCCTTCAGGCAAAGTGGGGTTAAGTGTCTTGCCCGAGGACACAATGACAGCAGACATCAGTGGGAGTTGGAGGAGAAGGTCTCACGCTGGGCTTGAATCTACGACCTTCTGGCCCAAAGACCAATGCTCTACCAACTGAGCCACAGTCGCCCCTTAAGCATTGCAAATAAAGCAAGATCGTCTCCATGGCTACAAGTCAGATGATAGAACCATGAAAAAGATGCATTGTAGAGAGTGAAATAGGATATTGTGGTTTTGACAGATACATACATAATTAATCATGGATCAGAACAGTTTAAGTCTATTGACCTTCATTGGCACACATTGGGGAAAAGATGGCAAATTGATGTGATAAGAGAAAAAAAAGAGCCAGGAAGATATGAACATTTGGACCAATGAGTAAAAAGCATGTGGGTGTGAAAAAATGGTTGCAAGTTTTTGTAAATATGTATCTGCAGACACTGTAATCAGCTCAATACTTGCCGAGGTTTATGTAACTCAAATGAAAGCAAACTTAAGTCTCAGTCACAATTCAAAAACTTAAAAGCACACACAACCAATCAGAGCTATTACTCAGACACAGAGGTTTAGTAAACTACAACGATCTCACACTTTAAAGGAGCAGTATGTAAAAAATCTGGCCAGAAGTGGTACTGCAACCTCTCCCTCTTTCCCTGACTCTGGTTGCCAGATATGCAGAAAAATCCAGCTGGGACCATATTAACTGAAGAGTTTGATCAACAACAAATCTATAACAAACACCTTTTTCACAAAGGCCCCGATAGGAATTCTCGTTTAATTCCCTGTTTTGTCATAATGGTTTGAGAATCATAACGGGACCTTTTTTAGTTCTGTGGCCACATGTTACTTTACCGGTGAGATTAGCTTGTGAGTTCTGGCACCCCGGATCACGGACTTTCTGATTGGTAAAACGGTGGAGCGCGGGCATTGAAATGAAAATAACAAGATTTAGGGGGCAGGTTTATTAATGCCTTTTGACAGATTAGGGCCCTTTAATGATGACTTGACATGAAAATCTTACACATTGCTACTTTAACTTAGAATGTAGTCTAAAATATGTGTGTTTTAATCAAACTCGATATTCTATACCACAGAACGACCCACTTTTATAGTAAGTAAGTAAGTAAGTTTTTATTTATATACCGCCTTTTCACTGCAGATCTGCGTCTCAAAGCGGTTTACAATTGTTAATTTTTGGGCATTTGTCTCTCACTCCACACAGAGATGGGAGCAGGGTCACCAGTACAGGAGGCACATGCCAGAACTATTGGACATATTTTTAGTGGTAGGGGAAACCGGAGTACCCGGAGGAAACCTACGCAGACACGGGGAGAACATGCAAACTCCACTCAGAAAGGCCCTGGTCCGACCGGGATTCGAACCCAGGACCTTCTTGCTGAGAGGCGAGAGTGCTATCCACTCAGCCACCGTGCCGCCCACCCATAGTTAATAAATACAGCGTACATTGTCCCCAAAAGTGCAGGATAGTTCAAAGGCGGTGGTTGTGTGTGTTGTGTGTTTTGTGTTGTGTGTTGTGTGTGTTGAATGCTCCGGGTGCAAACCTCACAATGAGACTGTGTGCGTTTGAAGCATCAGCTGACGACACCTCCAGACAACTGCCATCAGCCACATCTGCTCTTTTACCCAGAGTCATGTTCTCACTGGCAGCATGTGACAAGGAACAGCGGAAAAGTGAAATGCAAAAGGAAAATCAGCCGCAACGACAGACGCACACTTGTTCTGGATCCCTTTGCGGTCCTCACTCACCATAGGCCTCTGTGTTTGCGACAACTCATAATAATAATAATAATAATAATAATAATAATAATAATAACATAATACTCCAATAGTAGTCATTTAAAGCTGGGGTACCCAACTTTCACAGCCAAAACTATAACACTTTCCTTCTATAGTTTTCATAATGATAATTCTTTCTTTTTTCATCTCTATCACATTTTTAGATCAGCAATTTCAGATAGAAAACTGGCCACCCTTTCTCAGCCAATCAGGTCTCAGCACAAAACATCTATTGGGTTCATTAGGTTCTTACATGTATGCAAAAGATGCTTTCCAATAACATTAAGCAGCCCCCTCTTGGTTAATGTTTATTGTACATTGTCCCTGTAAAAAATAAATGTAATGTTTTGACCTTATTTGTAAAAAAAGAGAGAAAAAAAGGGGTGGAAGAAGTTTTAAGGTTATAGGAGTGCTATAGTTCCCTCACAAACCCTCTGTCTGCGTTCAGCGGATTATCCTGACTTAAACCTCATTCATAAAGTGGAAAAGTGCAGTCTAAAAATACACATTGGTTGAAAAAATAGAATAGCATTGGTCAGCACTTTACCATTTCATAACAATCGTATATTCACCTCGACACCTCGACAAGTATGTCTGTTGTGGCGCCACCTGTATGTGAAAGATCCCAGGAGACCTCTAAGCAAACTCAGCAAGACATGCCCTAGATACTATTGTGATGGCAGACCTCTGGGAACGCCAGGTGCCTCAGCTTTAAAGTGCCAAACTGTTGTTCTTTAGGCAAGACACCGACATTACCAAGTGTGAGTCTGGTGTGTGCGGAGGTGATTGGGTTGGACACAAAACCATCTAGATTGGTTAAAGCTCCTGAAAAACTGGTGAAATGGAGCCACTTTGTTTTTAGAGTGTGGTTGATAATCACAGCATACTCATTAAAATGCCATTCCATCCCAAAGCGTGCCAGGTCACAGAGAGAACTGTGAATGTATCAGTTTTTTTTTTTTATAAATATTTATGCTCTTGTTGTGAGTTTTACTTCCTGTCTGTCCTGTTGATTTTTTGCCCCGCCCTGATGTGTTGCACCTGTGTCTCCCTGTGTGTATTTAGACGGTCGGCACTAGATCATACACGGAATCAGAGACGGAAGCGGAAGTAACAGTTCTACTTTCCAATTTGTTCTAGACCAACAAGTTCTTAAGTGGTGACTGGTTAAGTTTTAGCGGTACGGTGGCTGAGTGGATAGAACTCTCGCTTCTCAGCAAGAAGGACCTGGGTTTGAATCCCAGTCAGAACAGGACCTTTCTGAGTGGAGCTTGCATATTCTCTCCTTTTTTGTCTCCGGTTTCCCCTATACCACTAAAAACATGTACAATAGGTCTGTGTGTCTGGCATGTGCCTCCTGTTCAGCAACCCCGCTCCCATCTCTGTGTGGAGTGAGAGACAAATGCTCAAAAAATAACAATTGTAAACCGCTTTGTGACTCTGGTCTGAGAAAGGCGGTATGTAAATAAACATTACTTACTTACTGTACTTGGCTGTCTGAGTAAGATGGTTAAGGTTAGGGTTAAGGGTGGGTTGAGGTTATTCGATGGGAATGTCTGGTTAAGTTTAGGTAGTTGGCTATATTTACTTCCGATTACGTCCCGATTCCGTGTATGATAGTGCCGACCGCATTTAGACCCTGTTCTTCTGTCCTCTTTTTGTCGGCCCATTTTTTTGTTTTTCACCCTGTCTTTTACTTTTGGATTTATTTTCTTGTGCCATTAATTAAACAATATTCTTTTTGCAGTTCTGCTTTGGGTCCTTCCTTGTTTGTCCGTGACACTGGGTTGATGCCAAACCATGTAACCAGATTGATTGTGTCCTGGATAATTAGATGCATTATGACAGATGCAAAGTGCTGCTACAGTCCGGCCAGGTGCGTGTGCTTTATGAACTGAACACGCACTTATGTAATCCTGTACAGAGGCCATTTGGGGACGATGCTTGTGAAGTAGTGACATGGCCCAATCATGTGTGGAGCCTTTCTGTGATGCAAAATCCACATGTTTGCTGTGATGTCAGACAAAAACAAACGTCGGACTAATTGAGTTATATGAGATTATGTTGCGTTGGCTGTGGCTATACTGTATCTGGTTTGGCTGACAGCTTCACCTCTTCTCTAACCTGATACCATATTGTCTTATTTGAAGGATATTGTGCGACCTTCTACTTTTGGGCCAAGGCAGAAAACACCAGTAACATTTTTGACAACACCCCTCCATACTTCAAAAGACACAGCTCCTAACCATAGACTTTAAATATTCTTACATCTCTATAAATAACGGATCCACTTTGTTTAATGACTATATACATTCAACATCACTGAATAAAAGTCAGTACAAAACTATAGTTGAATAATCAAACAGCCTAAATGTTTGGAAGAATGAATATCAATGTTGTCATTAGACACATAGTGGGCTGATAGGCTGCCTGTATTTAAATAATGTATAAACCAAATCCTTTACAACTGCTCGTCCAGGTCACAGGTGTTGTTTGCAGCTTACTCAAAATTCAAGTTTATTTATTTTTTTAATATCCAAAAATTCAATAGTACAGGCCCTTTAAATGTATTTATGATTACTATTATCATATTGTAGTACAAGTCTATTTCCATGTTAAAAACAGCAGTGATATCAGCAATTATTAGCAATGTTTTTATGAGATTGCTTGCTGCCTGGTTTTAAAAGAATGTCTGTCTGCCTGATGTGCAAAGAGATATCACTTTATGTGTGCGTTTTTGTTCTTATACGTGACTTATCGGAGAGTTTTCCCATCAAACATTTGACACTTTGTAAATACCTATAGCACATTCAGCTTGGGCAGCCACATCACTCATCCATATGGTCAGTTTGTCATGTATTGCACTGCACACATAAGCAAAACACACTGAGCCATACGACATTACCATAATACTATTACCTCTAATCCATGCAATGATCCAGCAGCGTATTGATCCCCGTTTTAAAGTGTACAGAATGTCCCTTTAAAATAACAGTGTTGTCTTATCCCCTGAATGTCAAACTGGCAATAGTGTTCATATAAAAAGTTCTAGTTGTATTTCTGACCCGCTCCTATCGGGTGAGTAATGGCACTGTCAACAAACACTGCGAATGCACGATGCCATGCAGTCTGGTATATTTATCCAAAACCACAAATAATACGGTCTCCCCTCTCTCCTCCCATCCTCATCGCTTCCCATATATGTACACAAACCTGCATTCATTCATGCTTGTAGTAAGAGGGCTACTTACCTATGCACAGCTGCAAAACATAGGCGTAGTATGACCATGCCACTATCACGGCAATGAACAAGACTGGAATCCAATACAAAACTCTCTGACATCCCCGTTTTATTTGCGTTCCCGACGGTGCCATAGTCCTAGTAGGAGCGCATTACTCCACACACGCATTTAATATTTGGGGGGGCTTTCTTTATGGATAAACCGACTCCCTCCAAATGCGCTGTCACTGCACCACAGCGCTTGAATTAAGACTCTGTACACACACAAAAAAAAAAAATCTCCTTCAATGTGACGCGTCTTTCCTGTGTGATGTTTTTATTTTTTTGTAGGGGGCTTTGGTGCCGCACTGCCCTGCTTCACCAAATATCACAGACGGTTCCAACGCAGACACGCTGAACGGGGGAGGAGGGAGGAGAGGGAGAAGCAGGGAGAGAGGGAGGGCGGGGGTTATGAGGGAGGGAGGGAGGGGAGAGTCTGCTGCCCATTTTCTTTCCCATCCCAGCCCCGTGCGCGCCCCGGTTGCCATGACGTCCGCGGGATGCTGCAAAGCTGGCACATTTCTCACTCCTCGGGTGCATTGAGTTCAGACGCACGGTTTCGCCATGTGTTTCAAACCGGGGTTCTATTCTCGCCTCCCTCCCTCTCTCTCTCTCTCTCTCCCTCCCTCCCTCCATTCTCTCCCTCCTCCTGTGGCACACGCACTGCTCTCTACGGCCAGAACCCAAAATCACACAATATACCCAGAGCTGGCGTGATATTTCAGGTGTGGTGAGAGGTGAGATATGTATTTAAATGTGAAATCAGCTTGGACTGTGTCTTAGCTGGAGAAACAAAAACAGTTACATTCTTCTTGAGTTGTATCTTTTCTTTCTGCGTCTTGTGACCTTGAATGAACTTGATTCATTTGCAGTTGTAGTCCAGTATAGTAGTGGTAGAAGTAGTAGTAGTAGTGCTAGTATAGTTGTTGTTGTTGTTGTTGTAGAAGTAGTGGTGGTTGTAGACATGCCCACATGAAAAACCTGAAGATTCAAAGTATAGTAGTAGCAGTAGTAGTAGTAATAGTAGTAGTAGCAGAATAGCAGTAGTAGTAGTAATAGTCGTGGAAGTAGCAGTAGTAGTAGTAGCAGTAGTAGTAGTAGCAGTAGTAGTAGTATAGTAATAGTAGTAGTAGTAGTGGAAGTAGCAGTAGCAGTAGTATAGTAATAGTAGTAGTGGCTGTAGTAACAGTAGTAGTAGTAATAGTAGTAGTATCAGTAGTAGTAGTAATAGTAGTAGTAGCAGTAGTTGTAGTAGTAGTAGCAGTAGTAGTAGTAATAGTAGTAGTAGCAGTAGTTGTAGTAGTAGCAGTAGTAGTGAAGTAGTAATATTAGTAGTAGCAGTAGTTGTAGTAGTAGTATCAGTAGTAGTAGTAATAGTAGTAGTAGTAGCAGTAGTAGTAGTAATATTAGTAGTAGCAGTAGTTGTAGTAGTAGTATCAGTAGTAGAAGTTGTAGTAGTAGTAGCAGTAGTAGCAGTAGTAGTAGTATAGTAATAGTAGTAGTAGTAGTGGAAGTAGCAGTAGCAGTAGTATAGTAATAGTAGTAGTGGCTGTAGTAACAGTAGTAGTAGTAATAGTAGTAGTATCAGTAGTAGTAGTAATAGTAGTAGTAGCAGTAGTTGTAGTAGTAGTAGCAGTAGTAGTAGTAATAGTAGTAGTAGCAGTAGTTGTAGTAGTAGCAGTAGTAGTGAAGTAGTAATATTAGTAGTAGCAGTAGTTGTAGTAGTAGTATCAGTAGTAGTAGTAATAGTAGTAGTAGTAGCAGTAGTAGTAGTAATATTAGTAGTAGCAGTAGTTGTAGTAGTAGTATCAGTAGTAGAAGTTGTAGTAGTAGTAGCAGTAGTAGTATTAGTAGTAGTAATAGTAGTAGTAACAGTAGTTGTAGTAGTAGTAGTAATAGTAGTAGTAGCAGCAGTAGTAGTAGTAATAGTGGTAGTATCAGTAGTAGTAGTAGTAGTAGTAGTAATAGCAGTAGCAGTTGTAGTAGTAGTAGTAATAGTAGTAATAGTAGTAGTAGCAGTAGTTGTAGTAGTAGTAGCAGTAGTAGTAGTAATAGTAGTAGTAGCAGTAGTAGTAGTAATAGTAGTCAGGACAAAACATGAGGAGGCAGCGTTTCAGATTTATGCAGCTAAAATCTAAAACAGTCTTCCCGAAACTGTGAGACGGGCTTTCACTTTGACTATTTTCAAATCCAGATTGAAGCAGTTCTGAAGAACTGTATCGTATTTGTTTAATGTACTGTGATTATTTGTGATTTTAATGTCTTGTATGATGCACTTTGAGTTGCCTTGTCATTGTGTATGAACTGTGCTATACAAATAAACTTGCCTTGCCCAGTTTTGGGTTTAGTTTTGGGTTGTTTAAAAATATTGAAGCTCCCTGTTTTATATATACTGGTCCTTTTGTACAAAGTTTGATTGGCAGATTGATACTTCATTGATCGTACAGAAGTAGGAGTACAGCAGCTGCCACAGTAGTCATAGTAGGAGCCTGATAGGATTGACAAAACAGAAGTATTATAGGATCAAACTAACCAGCCAAAAGAAAGATTATTCCTCAGATTCAAATACAAGGAGATCGGAAATGTAATAAATGTAGCCATGTGAGAGAAACCCACTGGACATGTCAAACGTCCTCCATTATTATTGTGACATATCGTCTACTGGGAGTACATGCCTGCAGTATTTATGTACTTCAAATCCCACAGCAGACTTCAACAGCTGACTCTTCCTCACTCTGCTGTACTCACATGAACCTAGCACAAAAAAGGCTTTTAACCCTTTAACATGTTTGCACACTTCCTGTCTTTTGGCACACCCTGCAGTGATTTTATCTATGCCACATGTGACCTGTACATTTCTCCATTGTGAGATCAATAGTTTATCTTATCTAACTCGGGCCCAGGGGCCAGATGCGGCCCTCAGCGTTATCTTATGTGGTCCTCTGCCTCGCTAACAGTAGTCTTTGAGATCATAAACACAAGTTCACTGTGCATCCATCCAACTTCAGCTCAGCCAACATAGACCTTGCTCTGAAACTCAGTACGTCTGGGATTCAGTCTTTGACTTGTGAGAAAATAATAATACATTTCATTTCTTAGGCGCCTTTCTTGACACTTTAGGTCGCCTTACATACAAGTAAAAAAAAAAGTGCATTTTAAAAACAGTTAAAATACAAAGTTAAAAGCATCATGGACAGAGGAGAGTGTGGTTATGTTAGTGAGTAGGCTTGTCAAAACAGATGAGTTTTAAGGTGGATTTGAAGAATGTGAGTGAGTCGGTGTTACGGAGGTCAGGGGGGAGAGTGTTCCAGAGCTGGGGAGCAGAGCGGCTGAAGGCTCTACTCCCCATGACAAGGCAGGCAGGAGGGACCAGGAGCTGGAGAGAGGAGGAGGAGCGGAGGGAGCGGGCAGGTGTGGAGATCTGGAGGAGGTCAGTCAGGTATGGAGGAGCAAGGATGGCTTTGTATGTGAGGAGCAGGATTTTGTATTGGATACGGTGAGTGATGGGGAGCCAGTGGAGCTGTTGGAGGACAGGAGTGATGTGGTTGATGGAGGGGGTGTGTGTGAGGAGACGGGCAGTAATATTTTGGACCAGTTGGAGTTTATGGAGGGTTTATGGAGATGGTACACATTTGTCATTCAGCCAACTTCAGCTCATTTTAAGGCTATGAACAGCCCGATACTGGTCAAGACAGTCTGGTAAACTCATGTGACCCTCTTACTTAAAAGTATACAATTACAGCTGGCGTTGACACGTGTCCCCTCACCATCTCTCTGCTGGAACATTTGTATTAAGAGTGTGAAGTGTGGCCTTAAGTCTTTAACACCTCTGATCACAGTCTGTCGCCCACACACTCACACACCGATGACTAACGCTGCTTCAGGAGTCGCGTTTGTTCTGCTTTGGACTGACGTCTGAGCAGGAGATGCAGGTAAAGGTGTGATCATGAAAGAGGAACGTGGAGATCAAAGTGTGTGTGTGCGTGTGTGTGTGTGTGTGCAGGCAGTGGAAACAAGTGTGTACTGTTTAAGTCTCCTATAGGATAACAACACAAGTAAATAGATAGATAGTACCATACTTTTAAAACACACATGTACGTTGCAGGGCCCTGTAAAATGTGAAAGTTTGATCGCCTGTAAAATAACAAATTATTGTCCCAATAGAATTACACGGTTCTATCTGCATTCTGAGGTAATAAAGCTAGACTTTGAAGCAGCAACAAATTACGACGGTTCTGCCACTTATTTTCACATGCTTCACATTTATAGATTACTTGCCCTCACTCAGCCAATCAGCTGGCAGTATGTAAAAGATAAAGTTTTTTCAAATATGATAAGATATGATTTTATATAAATTAAAGTTGTTGAAGATATACATACATTTTGACTCTTGCTAAGAATAAATATCAATTTAACTCATTTGATTTGCATTTCTTGCTGCTGTATAACGGCTGCATCATAGCAACTGTATATTGTGGCTATCATTTCAACCTGTCCCCTCTGATTCTGCTTCAATGACTGAATATTTGTTTTCACTTGTGTTATGACTTGTTTCCTAAAGTACATTTAGTCCCCTATTGTGCACAAATGTTCAAATAAACTTCTCAATATGGTGCTGGATCCCTCAACATAAGTGTACAGGTCCTCATTTCTGTCTTCCCTGCAAAAGAATAATTCTGTATATAAATTGGAAAATGTTCCTTCTAATCAGCACATATATATTTGTGTATGTATCAAGTGACATAAGAAAATTCACTCAGTTTCAAGTTTTATTGCAGCATCAATTTTGAACAGTCAAGATGCCAAATGTTTCACAGACCAAAGCATTTCAAACTGAAAATATCCCCTGTGGGGTTCATGAGCAGGTTATAAATGACTCCTGTAAGATCAAGACAAGAGTCCAGAGGGAACAAACATATGGCTTTAGTATTTCTGCATATTAATAAAGAGTTGATTGGTGTGGGGGTTCTCAAGCTGTGGGTAGGGGCCCTCTGATGTACACTGGCACATGGATGGATATCACTTCATATGGCTTTAGTTCAGCTGGTCATATACATCTGGGTGACTAAGAGGAGCATGGGTTGGAAAAAATTTT